TTTCAATATGTTAGATGATTAAGTGGAAAAACATTTAGGCCACGTGAAGTCACGCTAATTATTTGAGTTAAACAATAGTTATTCAGTATACCTTTTGCTGCCATTAGGAAAGACCACAAAACACACCACAGACCACACACCCTTCCCCATTTATTCCAAACAAATTTGGGATGGCAGAATTCTGGACCTTCCTCAATCCTCTTTGGATGTGTAGTGGTCATCTGCGTCCATAATGTAAAACTGCAGAAGGCATGGCGGCTTTTCCACCTTTAAAATTTGGACCCTAATCTTCGAATGGCCCAGATCCATTTGACGTCTCAAAATCATGGGGAACTCGTGGAAACTTTTAAGGATGTGTTCACTTGTTTGCTGTTCAAAGAGGCACACGCAAGATTTTTGGGATGCATTCTAGTAAAAAAGAAAAGAAAAAACCAAATCATACTATGTAGTTACACCTTTGAGTCTTGAACTTATTAAAGCAATAATATTATAAAAACTTAAAGATTGTGTTCAGAATCTCGAAACAGCCGTGCAGGTAACTGGATGCTAACTTAGCCTTTTGCTTGACAAACCACATTTTCTAAGACACAAACCTTTTCGGGAGAAATATACCAATAAATGTGACCATACCGGAGTTGTCCCTACATAGCCCGAAGGACATTCTGGAAAAGCAGAAAGATTTGAGATATTTAACTCGTTTTGTCTGAAAAGTATGATCTGTCATAGACTTACCGCGAAACCGGACGTTGCTTTCTCCGAGAAGGCGGAAGATGGCGGAGAAGGGGCGTGGTGTGAAAAGGTCTAGTCCGGGTCACGGGGAACGATATGCTCATTTTGGTGGGGACTTTTTAGTCCTCACCAAATATTGGTGGGAATGTCCCCATGGTCCCACGCAACCTACGCCCTGCTGAGCGTTTCAGTCGCTGGACAGAGCTAAAGCGGACTTAACCTGCCACTAGTGGCGCGTAGGATGTAATTGTTTCACGCAGCTGCGTGATTATGAAAAGTGTGAATGGATGACGACAAATCGAAAATGGGACTACTGTAGACACTTGTTTAGTGGAGCTGTGAGTGGAATTGATGAGGCGAGTTGATAGTCAGAATGTGGAGGAGCTTATCGCTTTTACTGTAGTTTACAGGTGCAGTACTCCCTGGAAAAGTAAAGGTGGGGTGTTTGAGTTTTAAATGTAGAAATGTGGGGGCTACATGATGTAACTATGGAGGTTGTGAAGTGAGGAAAAACGCGGTGGAGATTCAGGAGAGTGAGGTTGTGAATAATGATCTCTTATGCAGAAGCAGTGAGGAAAGTTCAAAATCCAAAACCCAGGAGCGAATGGAGACCAGAGTGTGCTAGAGGATAAGACGCAGAGTGTGATTGAGGGTAATATGGAGTCGTGGATAATTTGATGGTGTTTCTAGCTATGTCATAAATTGTGCGAATCAGGCAAAGCATAAAACAGATCAAAATACGATAGTGAAGGGAGGGAAAAGTTACCGGGTATGTGAGGTGTTTCCTGGGAACCGGGTACAAAAGGTTGGTGGAGGAGAAGAGAGGGGTGTGGAGGGGGAGTGCGAGAGTAGTATGAGAAATATTCAATGGAAAACGCAGGGGTTTAGTGGCAATGGACAGGAATTAAAAGGTTATGTGCAGAACAAGGAGGAGACCTGAAATTATTTGTTGTCAGGAAACAGTGTTATGGTGCATTCAGACCGCCAACGCTCAAACGCTGAAGGCCCCGATTTGGACAAAGGTGGATAGTTGGTTAGTGGAACAGTTGATAAAAGACTCGCAACGCGTTACTCGAAGGGCATAAAAATGGTGATGAGATTGAATAAATCCGTGTGCAGCTCTGAACTCTCTGACCCGGCAAGGATTTGCCTCTGTGGACGGTGGTTGAGGGCGCGCAATTCGGTTTAATTGATGAATATATATTGCCTGCTTTGACGTCAATGTTTATATTGTCCCTCTCAGGCGATGTGTTTTTCTCCTGCTGTGTCTTTCTCACCATCGTATCGCAATTCTCTGCCAAGCCATATATAACAAGGTCCCCCAATCTAAACAACCTCACATTCTCAGTCTCCAGCTAGGAACCCGCTCCCACCGCTCCCTTACTATCCATCTTCTCCTTCCTCCTCACTCCTCATTGTCTTTTCCGGCTCACCCCTCCTGATCCTGCTCCTCTGACAGCACATTGTGCGGCAGTCGGAGGGCCGCATCATCCGAGAAAAAAAATCGTGGTTTCTATACAAAGCACAATGTGTTATCCAGTGCCGTGCGTGCATGCTATGGGTTTACGTTCAGATTTAGACTATTATAGGTTGCTCTCTCCGCTGTCACTTTCCCTCAAAATGTGACATTCACCTCGTCAGATGTATCTCATTCAATGTTTGAGCACTGTCAGGGCTTTACGTGTACTTTCAGCTTATTCATTTTGTACTCTTCAATTCAAAACCATTCTCTCTCTCAAATAAAAAAAAAAAAAAACTCAGTCTCGTTAGAGTCTAATGACAACATATTGGAGAAATTTTAATAAGGGCGAAAAAACCGGGACAGGTTTACTATGACACCAGTCGCCTGGCCATGTATCCCTTGGGGCAGCGAAAGGCTGTGGTTTAGAAAGCTAAAATGCGTGTAAACTTGTTTTCTTTACTTTTTCACAAAACCAAAACACACAAAATATAAACAACAAGTACCCAGTAAAAGTCATGACAATTTCAACTTCTGGCGTTTTGTTTTGAATACAATAATTAGGATATTAAAAAGTGAGTGACGGTCAGTTGACGCTAGGGGGCTCTAGTGTAATGGCGAGGTGGCACTCTAGCTGCCCAAAACATTTCAAGGTGGTACTTCTGTTTGTTTACTTACATGGCAATAAAACTAGAAACTTGCAATGGCTGAGCCATTGCGATTTGGACTGCGGAACAGATTACAGTGGGAAATCTGCATAAAAAAAATCCTTGAAATCCTTTAAAGGTTGAAATGTTAAAATATTGTAGAATATTTGAAATCCTTGAAGTCTTGAAATTGTTTGAAACCTTTAACTCTGAATCCTTGAAACTGTTTGAAACAGTGAAACTCCTGAAATCTTGAAACTTTTTTTAACCTGGAAAAAGTTGAAAGTGTGGAAACTCCTGAAATCCTTGAACCTCTGATATCCTTGAAACTGGTTAAATTCTTAAACAGTAGAAAATCTTGAAACATTGTATGTAATGAAAGTGTCTTGAAACTGAATAAATCCACAGCTTGACACAATTTGGTTCCTGTAAAATAAGGGAAACTGGGTCTGTGGTCATGATTGGTGGTGGTTGAGTCTTGTTTGGGTCTTGGTTTGGTGGTCTAATGCAACTATTGGTTGCATTATACCACAGACCAAGGACCCCAAACGAAGACTCGACCACACAGATAAAGAACACAGACAGGTTTCCTTGTACAGGATAAATTTGTTTCAGCGGTGAGGGGATTTTCAGTTTCATGGGAATTTCAATACATCAGTAGTTTAAGATTTCAACTGTTTCCAGAATGTAACACCAGTTTCAAGGATATCAGGAGGTTCAAGGAATTTCAGGAGTTTCCCACTTTCAACAGTCTTCCAGTTTAAAAATGTTTCAGGATTTCAGGAGAGTTTCAATGTTTCAACAGTTTCAAGGATTTCAGGGTTAAAGGTTATTTCAACAATTCAAGGACTTCAGGCGGTTTCAAATATCTATTCAAGTTATTTTAACAGTACGGCCTTTTAAAGGTTTCAAGGATTTTTTTTTAGCAGATGTTCAACATCTAGATCTGTTCGCAGTCAAACGCATGGCTTCAGCCTTGCAAGTTTCTAGTTTTTATCCATGTATAGTAACACACAAAGTTTCACTTGGAAATTTGTTTTGGCAGATAGCGTGCCACTTCGCCATTAATAGGGAGCGCCCCTAGCGGTCAACGGACGTCACTCACTTTTCTATGCTAATTAGTGTATTCGAAAACAAAACGCCAGAAGTTGAAATCTTCATGACTTTTAATGGGTACTTGGTTTATATTTTGGTGGGTTTTGGTTTTTGGATAAAAGTAATGAAAACAAGATTTACACGCATTTTAGTTTTCTAAAACACAGGCCCTTTGCTGCCCCATAGGGATACATGGCGCAGGTGGCGATGTTGTTCATAGTAACCTTTCCGGGGTTTTTTCGGCTATTAAAATGTATCACTTATGTTGTCATGAGAAACTAAGAGACTTGGTTTTTTTTTTTTTTTCATTTGAGAGAGCGAAAGAGTTTTGCGAATTGGAGGTACAAATGATGAGAGATGAAAGTACACGGTTGAAGCCCTGACAGTGCTTCAAGACATTGAATGAGAACGTTGACGGAGGTGAGGAAGTCACATTTTTGGACGGGTGGAAGTGACAGCGGAGAGAGCACCTATAATATTCTAAATCTGACGTAAACCATAGTGATTTCACGCACGGCCAGCTGGATAGACACATTTGTGCTTTGTATAAAACCAGGATTTTTTTTTCTCGGGGATGAGCACCTTCCGACTGGCCGGCTCCAATGTGGCTGTCAGAGGGAGGAGGATAGGGAGGGGGGAAGCGGGAAAGACAATGGGTAGTGGAGGGGAGGGAAGGAGAAGTGGATAGGTAGAGGGAGGCGGGGGGAGCGGGATTCGAGATGGGATGAGAAGTGTGAGGTTGTTGTAGAATGGGGGACCTTGTTTATTGGCTTGGCAGGAGGGAATTTGAGACTCGAGTGGAGAGAAGATCAGCAGGAGAAAAACACACGCGCTGGAGAGGACAATATTATATGCAATTGAGGCGGTCAAAAAGCAGGAGATATATTATTCAATCCAATTAAACCGAATTGCGGCGCTCAGACCTACGTACACAGAGGCAAATTCTTGCCGGGTCTGAGGTTCATTGCTGGCCACACGATGTTATTCAATCTCATTTCCAATGTTTTATGCCTTGATGTGGAAGAGTTGCGGAGGTCTTTTATCAACTGTTCCACTAAACAAAACTTCCTATGCTCCTGACGTGGGCTTCAGGTTTGTGCCGTTTGCGGTCTGAATTGCACCATTAAGCCTTGTTTCCTGAACAACATATAATATTCAGGTATCCTTCCTTGTTCTCTGAAATAACTTTTAATTTCTGTCCATAGCACTAAACTCCTGCGTTCCATTGAATGATTCTCATACTACTCTCTCACTCCCCTCCCACACCCATCTCTTCTCTCTCCAACCTTTTGTCCACCTGTTCCAGGAAAACTATCATACCCGAGGTTACTTTTCCGCTCCTTCACATAGTGTATTTTGATCTGTTTTATGCTTTGCCTGAATTCGCACAATTTATTGGACTATGCTAGAAAACACCATCAAATTATCCACGACACCATATTACCCTCAATCACACTCTGCGTCTTTCTCTGCATACTTGGTCTCCATTCGTCTGGGTTTTTGATTTTGAACTTTCCACACTGTTCTGATAATAGACATTATTCACAACTTCCTCTCAGAATCTCCACGCTTTTTTCCTCACGTACAACCTCATGGTTACATCTGTTGGCCCTCCACAGTTTCTACATTTAAACTCAAAACCCCGACTGTACTTTTCCAGGGAGACTTGCACTGTAATCTACAGTAAAAGCGATTAGCTCTCCACGATTCTGACTATCAATCGCCTCATCAATTCCACTCACAGCTCCACCTAAACAGTTTTACAAGTAGGGTCCCATTTCGTTTTTGTCGACTTCATTCACGCTTTCTTGATCACGCAGTGCGTGAAACTTATTAAATCTAGAGCCACTAGGTGGCAGGTTAAGTCCGCTTTAGGCTCTGCAGCGACTGAAACGCTCAGGGCATAGGGCGTGTTTGCGTTGGGGACCATGGGGACATGTCCCACCAATATTGGTGGAGGGACTAAAAAGTCCCCACCAAAAATGACATGATGTTTCCGTGACCGGATGAGGACCTTTTTCACGCCAGCCTTCTCGCATCTTCCGCCTTCACGGAGAAAGAACTTTCCGGTTCGGTAGCAATCAATGACAGGGATCATACTTTTCAGCACGAGTTGAAATATCTAATAATCTTCTGCTTTTTCAGAAATGTCCTTCGGGCTATTGTAGGGAGGCACTCGGGTATGTCAAATTATTGAATATTTCTCCCTAAACAGGTTTGGTTTGGGTCTTAGTAAAATTGGTGTTTGTCAAGTACAGGCTAAGTTAGCTATCCAGTTACTGCCGGCTGTTCTTTTGAACAAAACTTAGTTTTTAAAATAATAGTATTGCTTAATAAGTTCAAATACTAAAGGTGTAACTACATAGTATTATGTGTGTTTTTTCTTTATTATTTTTACTAGAATGGCATCCAGGAAATTTTGCTGTGTGCCTCTTTGTTCAGCTACAAGAGAACACATCCTTACATAAGTTTCCGCGTTCCCATGGTTGTTTGTAGACGTTGCAAATGGATTGGGCATTCGGGAGATGAGGGTCCAAAATTTTAGGTGGGAAAAATGCCGCCTGTGCTGTCTGCAGTTTACATTTTGGACCAGATGACCTATACACATCCAAAGGAGGCAATTGAGGAAGGTCCAGATTCTGTGCATCCAAAATTTGGTTTGGAATAAAATGGCGGGTAAGGTGTATGCTGTGTGTCTTTGTTTGTGTGTTTGTGTCTGTGTTAATGGCAAGCAAAAGGTATAATGAATATACTATTGTTTTATCTCAAATAATAGTTGACTTCACTTGGCCTAAATGTTTTTTCCACATACTCAATGAAACAGTATTGTAAAACATAATGCAATTTTCTATTGTTGTTTGTAAAGGAAAGAATGTAAGGATAGGCCACAATTGGCACGATGTTTAGAGGTAATTGAAGGGGCGTGCGAGATCTTTGTCCGGAAGAGCTTGAGAGAGAGATGGTGGTGCCACACAAGGATACAGTAGCCAAGGCTGTTTCCGCCCATGAATTACACAAAAGCAATCCTTTCTGGTGTAGATATTCATACGGGCACGGATGACTTAAGCGCAAGTTTACAAAAGTAGTCTGGACTCTGGATTAATTGGGTTTGAGAAAGGAAATTGTAGCAAGCTTAAATCCTGTCCAAAGGAGATGTAAACTTTGGTGAACAGTTGTCCAGATGACTTAATTTGATAGATGGATGGACTATTTGATCACCTGCTTGATGAATGGGGGATAATAACGTTAATTAATTGTTATTCTGTTCTACGGACAAGTAGACGGGCTGCATGCAAAATTTAAGGACTTGGAGCAGAAGGTGTTATGTTCTGGAGCGGAACTACATTAAATTAACATTTAAGACGAGCTGCACTATTTTATACAAATTTTGTGTAAACAGTGAGGACTTGCTATTAATTGTCGATTTTCTTATATAGAGGCTTTTTGAGATATTTTGGGAGGTTATTAGCTTCTGCACCAATTTGTTTATTGGAGGTAAGGACGTAGCAATGTGCAGTAGTTGAAAAACCAAGCACCTATGAGGAAAGCTTCCGCTCATTGATGAATTATTTTTTTTCGAGCCAGGAAGGGACAACAAAAAGACAGACTAGAAGTTGCAAATATACAGTTTTTTTTTTATTAACAACATTCCAGTTCAAACGGAGGTGTGAAGAAGTTTAAGACTTTTTAACTTCCACCCTCTTTATTATTCTAATGAACTTAACTTAATTGATGTGGTGCTACAGAATTGGTTTATGCCGTGGTATTTTTACTATAACATGCACTGATTTGTAAGTGTATGTCTAATAAGTTTATATATTAAAAGTTTCCTTAATTCCTTATTAGTCTTTCAGTATCAGTCTTTACTCATCCTAACTTCGATCATAATTTATCATATAAGATTTATAATATATTCTTTTCATGTTACATTATAGAGTAATGTTTAGATTCTCTATATTATATATAATTAATTGTTAGTAATATTGACTTATGGAAATATAAAGGTATTATATATGGTTGGTTATACTTTTTTATCTTGTGTCAGCATGTGCATGTTAATCATCAATACACACCGAAGATAGGCTTTGTAAAGAGTGTGCTTTTGACACCACGGCTGTACAACCTTTGGTCTTCATTGGGATTTTTTTTACCACCATAATCAGTGGTATAGCCTCTGGTGCAATCCCCTAGAAATATTAAAATAACAATTTCCAGTATGAGCTTCACTTTTGACATTCAAGGTCTACCTGTGTCTAGGCCGACTCAAACCATTAGAAATGTTTGTCTGTTAATACCAAACTCCTTTTTCCTGGCACAAATACCGCTATTCCGAATCCTGAAACCTCAGTATTCTGGACTCTTTGACCCATCCGTAAGATGTGAATATGACTTGAGTAGAGTGAGATACGTGGTACTCAAAAGCTGCAACCAGATCAACCCTCCGCTTTTTCCTTCTTCTTCAAGTCCAGCAGGTGCCAATCTAACTCCTGGGCACGCCAACTTCCATGGGGGTATTGCAGGAAACACTAAAGCAGAACTAATCTGAAGATCATAAAATACCATAGTCCTGAGCCATCTGGTCCCCCCACTTTCCAAAATGATCTCTCTGGGCCTTACCATATTCCCAGCAGTCCCTCAATGTCTTTTTTGTGGGATGAGAATCCCCATGGCTTTGTAAATGAACCCAGTAGTTCATCATTATCTGCTTCCTTCTCAGATAGTGGCATCTCCCCCATCTCTACCTGCAATGCATTCACCGGAGATAGTCTTAAAGGCTCCGCAGCACAGCCTCAAGGCACGGGCCTGTATCACATCCAGTTTCTTCAGTATGGATGGGGTTGCTGATCCGTACACCACACAACCATAGTCAAAATGCTGACTTTATCAAGGCCTGATAGAGGCGTTTCAGTGCGGAGCAGCTGGCTCCCCAGTCTCTTCCTGCCAAACACCTCATAACATTTTATTACCTTACTAGACTTCGTCCTCAATCCTTTTTATGTGTTCCTTCCATGTTAAACGAGAGTCCAGTACAACCCCTAAAAACTTAAATGCACTAACTCTCTCAATCTCTTCACCGTATAACCTCAACTTCAGATCTTCCCTCACTCTCTTCCTTGTAAAGAAAACCACTTTAGTTTTCTCAACTGAGAACCTGAAGCCCCAGTCTAGTACCCACTCCACCACATCATTAATGGCTCGCTGACTCTTGCCTATTAGATGATCTACATTTCTCCCCCTGCTCCATACCGCCCCATCATCTGCGAACAAAGATCTACCCCACACTCCCAGGCATTGCATCAAACACATCATTAATCATAATAATGAACAGTAAAAGGACTTATCACAACTGCCTTGAGGAGTTCCATTTTCAGCACAATATTGATTGGAGCAAGCTGATCCAATGCGCACCTCAATTTTCCTCCCATCAAGAAAGTCTCGGATCCAGTTAAAAGCTCTTGCACTAACCCCCACCCTATGCAGTTTGATTAATAACCCCTCTTTCCACATCATGTCATAGGCTTTTTCAATGTCAAAAAACACTGCCAGCCTGAAAGCCTGAGCCTGAGCTTTCCTTATCTCATTTTCAAGCCTAATAATAGAGTCCACACGTATTTCTCGCTTTCCTAAAGCCACTCTGACAACCAGCTAAAACTTCTCGTCTCTCAAGGTCAAAAGACAACCTTTCCACAATCATTCTCTCCATAATTTTACAGAGGTTGGAGGTAAGGGCTATTAGCCGATAACTACATGGCTTGGACGGGTCCTTTCCAGGCTTCCTTATCGGCACTATCACAGCCTCTTTCCACGCACCTGGCACCTTTCCCCTTCAGTCCAAACTCTATTATACAATAGCAGCAGTTTCTTACGGGCTTCTATCCCTAGCCTTCTAATCATTGCATAACATATCTGATCCTTACCTGGAGATGTTTGTTTTGCCCTTCTAACTGCCCCTGTCCATCTCCTCCAAGGAGAAAAGGGAATCCTGATCTTGATTATAAAGCCTCCTTAGTTACAAATACTTCCTGGTTCTGATCTCTGGTTTGATCTCTCCTGCTTTAGCCACTTCTGATAAGTTATCTGAGCTATGCACCTTTACAAAACTTTGGGCCATGACCTCTAGCCTTATCCCTGTCCGATATCGCTGTGCCATTCTGAGTCACTAATACTGGGTAATCCCACTCACGCCTGTCTCCACCCATCCTTCTTACCATTCCCCAGACTTCACCCACTGGTGTTGTTCTCCCCACTTTGAGCAAAACTCCCTCCAGCTAGACCTTTTTGCTCTTCTAATTGTCCTCCTAACAATTGCCTGCGCTTTCTTGTATTCCACCAGATGCTGAATACTGAGCGTTCTCTTAAACTTCCTAAATGCCTTATTCCTCTCCTTGACCGCTACCCGGCACTCCTGCGTCCACCAGGGATACCAGAAACTCTGTTATTCTTTGGCTTGCTCTTTGGAATACTCTTCCGTGCAGCATTTATCATTCCCTCCGTAATCTGTTTATTCATTTCATCTACGCTGCCTTGACACCCCATTTCATCTGCAGCCTCCTCACATAACTTTTGGAACTCATCCCATATCAGCTCTATGGAAAGCCCATTTCCCCAAACCCTCTCTGCTTATCCCCTTCACCTTACCCCCAATTGAGCTCAAACAGGATAATGGTCACTCCCCAGGGTTGTATCTGTTCTAACCCTCCACTGGCAGCCCCCTGCACATGCGCTAGACACCAGGGTAAGATCCAACGCTGAGGAGGACCCATTCACAACATTAAACCTTGTACCAGAACACGTCATTCAAACACACAAGATTCAGCTCATCCATCAATTCCTCTATAACACTTCCATTGGCGTCTTTATGCCGACCCCCCCATACTCCACTGTGAGCATTAAAGTCCCCCACCCAAACAACTCTCCTACGGTCTTGTCCCTGAATACCCCGGAGGCTCTGAAGCTCTAACCTGGCACATGGATTATAGAAATTTATGACCACTGTTGGTTTTTCCTTCTCCCATACTTCCACTACAATGCACTCCAGATTTCCCCCTACCCCCAGTAACCTGTAGGGGATACCGCTTCTAACAAATGTTGCACACCCCCCTCCATCTCCATGGTCTCGGTCATTTCTAATCACAGCATATCCATATATTATAAAGTCCAAAGAAGGCTTAAGCCACGTCTCCTGCACATATATTACGTCCGGTTTCTCTTTAAGTCCTTTAATGAAATACTTAAACTCCTGGCCATTGGCCAGTAAACTTCTTGCATTCCATTGGAGAATAAGCACCATTAGGAATACAAATAACATTATACCACTCGTCCTGACTGAAGCCTGAGGTGATCACTCACCTTTTCCCATGTCAGTCCTACCACTCCTAGCAGCTTTACTGCTGCCTCAACAATCAATTTGATCCTTTCATCTCTAGTTTTGACCCCAAAAGTGCAGTTTATTACTTCAGCAATAAATGAAACTAGCGCAATTGGCTGTACACTTAGATTACTTTTGCTCTGCCCAGTTACTGCCTCCGGCTCTTCTTTTCCCCGCCCCCTCGTCACAAGAGGAGCACTCTGCCGTGATGTCCTCACAGCCTCTGCATAAGAGATCCCCTTCTCTACTCTCACCTTTTGAATCTGACTCTCTTTCTTCATAAACTCACATCCAGCATAAGCCACACTATGTGCCCCACCACAGTTGCAGCACTTGGGCTGTACTCCTTCCCCACACTTCCCATATTCATGGCCCCCTCCACATCGAGCACACCTTCTCTTATCCTTACAGTTACTTGCTGTGTGGCCAAAACGCTGGCAATTAAAGCACCTGAGCGGCTTTGGTATGAATGATCTGACTGAGTAACTCAAAAACCCAACAAACACTTTCTGAGGCAAAGTTGCTTCTTCAAACTCAATAAGTATAGTTTCACTGTCCACTTTCACTCCGTCCCTTGTTGCTTTCATCCTAGTCACACTTTTAACTACCCCCCCTTTAATATGTCTCTTCAACTCCTCCATCTTTAGATTAGCAGGTATTCCGGTGATTACTCCTCTGCTCCCGCCAAGTCGAACTCCCACCTGACTCGCACTGCTAACTTTAAACTTTCCCACCTCCCTCAAGCCCAATGCCTTCTTCATTTGCTCCTCATTGATACAATGAATTAATAAATTTCCATCATTCAACACTTTAGCTGATGTTACATCGCCCAGCTTGTTCCCAATATCCATTGTAAGACTAAATGGACTTGCTTTCCTCACACTGGCTTGAGTTTTCTCATTAAACCTCAGCACAACAATCATCTCTCAATAACTGAATGAACACTGCTGTCACTACCACTCTCATTCCGAAGCCGCTTACTACGCTTGTTCACTCTCTTCTGTGCTGACTGTAACTCAGCGTCACTTTCACTCTCCTCAGCCTCCATACTATCGCCCCAACTCCCTACCTCTGACCCATCCACGGAAAAAACAGGTTCTGGGATTAAGGTAGGTGGTTGTAGATCAATGAGATTTAAATCTCGCGCATTTCTCCTCGTCGACGCTCTGCCTCCGCCTGCTGACGCTGCCGCCATTCCGACCCCTCCACTCTCTCCACCTTAGTTGAATCGTTCCAGAGACGGTCAGGGCTTGGTAACGACACACACACGAACGTACGCGCACAAACACACACACGCACACACATGCGCGCGCGCACTGGGGGAAGCAAAAGCATGGCAGAGAGCCCAGGAGCCGCCGCGGTGGAGGAGGACCATGATAAGGACTCTCAAAGTGTTGTACCGTGGCCATACCTCCAAAAGTACGTCACTCTAGTCGAGATGAACGAAAAGAAATATGTTTTCAGATGCCTACTCTTTGTTGTTTTTGGTGTTTTGGGCTATTGTTCAATAAATATCTACAAAATGTTAACCTTTATCTGACTGACAGTTTATCTCAAATAAGAAGATAAGCTTTATTAATCTCACACAGGAGAAATTTACATGTCACATTTGGCATGGATAAAACACTCAAGAATTGTGCAAAAAATAAGAAATGAGCAAACATGTTAATGCAGGAAAATATAAAATTGCAGTTTGTTTAATTGAAAATAGCTTCTATATAGCAAGCTACTTTTGACAGAATTTTGTAACTTAGCTTGCTACATTTGTATGGGTGGTAGCTTCTGTGTAGTGAAGCTGAATTTATTGTAGAGTAGCTTGTAGCTTAGCTCACTACACAAATCAAGTAGCTTGCCCATCACTGCTTTGTAAGAACTTTTCAATTCGCTTTATTATTTTATAAAACACGTTTACAAAGTGCAGCACAGATAAAAGTAACACATTTAAATATACAACTCTACCAGCTTTTAATAAAAAACAATTAAAGTAAAATTAAATTAAATCAAGTAAAATTAAAAATTTCAAATAATTAAAACATAAATTCAAATAAAATAAAAGAACTCATATAAAATCAACAATTAACAATTCAAATAAAATATTTTAAATAAAATAAAATTTTAAAAATTAAAATACAATAAAAAAATACAATAAAAAAAAAACTATTAAAATAAAATAAAATAGAAACAATTTAAATAAATAAAATAAAGATCAATAGCAGTGTTGAGTGTCAGACATCACTCTCTTTCACCTACCACCTTATCTGTTCATATCTATGTCTGTAGTTTGTTGTTAAAAAAAAAACCAACTACACAACATTAACTTTTTTGTGACATATTAAAAATAAAAAACACAGATCCACTATCATAATAGTTACCAACATTCCAATTTCAATCTTATCCTCTCCTTAATTCCTGTTTATTTTTATTTGACTGGCATCAAATCAAGAACAGGGTCAAATTGAGGTGTTACCTCAGCTTTTGAATACAGAAATAATGAATAAATGAATACATTAAAAGAATATTGAACATGATGACGTGATATACAGTATATTTTTGTCTCCATGTTTCCCTGTCCAAAGTGTGACTTGTGTTGTGGCAGTGGTGCAGGTGAATGCGCAGTGCGGAGACGACGTGACGCTGCTGTGCGCCGCCCCCAGACCCGACTCGGTGGACGGACTGGAGTGGACCCGCACCGACCTGGACCCGTACGTTTACCTGCTGAAGGATGGGGTGGCGGCGCTGAACAAGCAGCACGAGGCCTACAGGGGGCGAGCCGAGCTCAAAGACGGCACGGCGGCTCTGTCTCTGCGAAACGTGACCAGCAAGGACAACGGGAAGTACGAGTGCCGCTACGTGATCCAGGGCTCCGGTGTTTCCAAGAGGTCCATCATCAGCAGCGAGCCGGTCAGCGTCGTGAAACTCCGGGTAACACAGGCAGGTGAGAGGGGCGCTCTCTATCTCTATCTGATGAAACAAGACGCTAACTAAGGCCCTTTTTTTTAAATCAATTTATAAATATATTCTCTACTTAAATCTAAAAAAAATATAGCATATTAGGTCTTCTTTAAAACATGAACTTCCAATGGGACAAACTTGATGTAAACACAACTTACATTGGGTTTATATTAGGGCTGGGCGATAAAACGATAACGATATATATCGCGATAGACATGTGTTCGATATCAATAGAGAATGGGGTCGATAGAATGTTCGATAGTTTAACTTAACTCCGTCAGGAAAAACAGGAAGAAAACACCGGAAGTAAAGCCGACTCATAAGCGCATGGCATTGTGGGGTATGTAGGCAGAGGCTTCTCGACCAATAACAGCCGAGCAGGAACCGCAAAACTTTGTGGGAAATGCAAAAACACCAACAACCGCACCATGCGTAGCGTCCATGGATCTATAGCTCGTGTTTCAATGCCGTGTCAATGGTTATGCACGTACGTGCGCGGAATAACATGTGCGGCGGCAGAGGCAGTGGACAGACCCGATGTATTCGGCGAAAGCAAGAGATTAACTTTTTCCTCGGGAAGCATGTGCGGCACAGAGAGCCGCACGGAGCGGTCACGGGGACACAAGACCCTCAAACAGCTAAACCAGGAGCTAAACCAGGAATAAAAAACCAGGATTAAACCAGGACTAACAACGAGGGACACAGTGTGAACATATTCCTCCAGCCTCATCGCCCCGTGACTGTAAACAAGGCTGCTAAGGTTGGCTAGCCCACACGACAAATGTATTTATTTAGGTAAAAAAAAAAACCTCAATATATATTGTTATCGACCGATATGAATGACTTATATCGTGATATAGTTTTCAGCGAACGAAGAGACGTCTCTATCTAACCTGTTCTTTTGGTTCAACAGAGATATCAGTTTTTCTGGGAATATTGTTATGAGCCCCTTTAATAAATGATTGCACACAGATAATAAACAGTCCTAGTTCCGGATCTTCTCCGGTGCTGTACAGTATGGTATGGTATGGTATGGTATGGTATGGTATGATTTTTTATTTTTACAGGGACAGTGTACAATAAACATTAGCCAGAGGGAGAGATGCATTGTACCAGGTTTTAGCAGCAGTGCTAATTTACATCTGTAGTCCCTGAGCAGGTTGTTGTAAAACAGTAAAATAAAAGTAGATAGATACATTACCATACATTATCAGACATACATTACAATTTAATTCATCACAGATTAGATTATAACATAAAATAAAACCACCCAGCCCCCATTCTTAACTTTCATACAATCCTACACTCAACTCTCTCACACACACGCACACACACACGCACACACGCACGCACGCACTCACGCACGCACACACACACACACGCACTCATGCCCGCACGCACACACACAGAGACAAGCACAAACCCACACACACTTACGCAGACACTCATCACACATGGGAACAGAATTGCCTCTCCAGGAGCCATGCTCTTGTCAGGCGTGTGAATACTTTGAGTTCAGTGCAGGTGATGATGTGAGTTGGGAGTGAGTTCCACTGAGTCGCTGCAGTGACGGAGAAGGCTGACTTTCTGAAAGAAGTCCTACATTTTGGGACGCTGCACTCTCCACGTGCTGTAGATCGAGTGGCACGGGTCATCGTTTCAGAGCGCAAGGTCACATATTTCCTGAGGGGTGGGGCTATAAGAGCGTTTATAATTTTAAAAAGTAGACACACATTATTATAAAAAAATAGATTTTTGAGGTTAAGAATTTTGTATTTTGTTAAGATTGGGCAGTGGTGGTATTGTTTGGGTTTTCTGTCATGTATTTTTAATGCACGTTTGTATATTGATTGAGGAGGACCCAGAGCAGATCTGTAGCCCTGGGACCAACTTGCCATACAGTACATGGAGTGTGGCAGAACCATAGCATTCAGAAACATGTGGGAGGCCTCGACTGTGAGGGACCCTCTGATGTGTCTGAAGTTGGCCAATGTAAAGTTTAGACTGTTTTGAAGTTTTTTAAAATGACTTTTAAATGTTAAGGTGGAGTCGAGGCTGACGCCCAAGTAGGTGTATTTTTCAACCATACAGTACATACAGTGAAGCCTGTGTCATTTTGGTGTTTAGTCTTTGAATGCTGTTGGATCCTCCCTAGAGCAGAGGGAGTGAGTGAGGGTGAATGGGGGTGATTGAGGGTGGATGAGGGTGAGGACGTATCACACACAATGAGGGAGATAAGGGAGTGACTGTGTACAAGCAAAACTGTCAGAGCTTCGCGGTTTAACCGGTTTCTGGGTTTAACAAAAACACTAATCAGGTTGTTAAGAAAGCTTGTCAGCATCACCTCTTTCTGCAGGCACTTAAAGAATTCACCAAACTTTAATATTCTGCACCATTGAAAATGTGCTTGTTCAGTGACTGTGTGGTTTGGTAACATCACAGCCAAAGAACAGAGAGCTCAATAAAGTGCACCTTTGCTTTTTCCTTTAAACAAGGTGGTCCACTCTGCAAAGAATGGAATGTGACTTGTGATCTGTTTGTGTCAATCAATGAATCTTCTGAGTCCTGGAAAAGCCATGTTCCAGCTTCTTCCCTCTGGCAGAAGATGTCATTCGCTGAGATTCAGGACAACTGGACATGCAAAAAGAACTTTAATGATCACCTGATATTGAAACTGTTTTTGTCGATTTGTTTCACTATGACTTTTACCTTGTTTTTGTATGTACTTGTCTGGTGCACTTTGTACTTATTTTTGCACATGTATTCCAATTGGTCTGTTCTGCAAATGGCAAATGAATTGAATCTGTGTGTTTCTCTGCTGTAGGTGGTGTTGATGCATGCAGAGGAGCAGAGGATGAGGAGGATGATGATGATGATGATGGTGATAAAAATAAAATCCGTGTGATAGATGAAGGAGAAGACCACTCTGCATTTATGAGACACCACTATGTGACGTTTGGAGTCATGGGGGCATTTGGTTTGGTGGTGGCTGCGATCACCTTCCTCATGGTTTTGTGAATGGATGTAAACAAGTACATTCTGATCATCTCATTACAGAAGAGATTGATGCAGAATTTGCTTTTAACTTTTTTATTTGGATAAATGAAAGATTCAAGTGTGTGTGTGTGTGTGTGTGTGTGTGTGTGTGTGTGTGTGTGTGTGTGTGTGTGTGTGTGTGTGTGTGTGTGTGTGTGTGTGTGTGTGTGTGTGTGTGTGTGTGTGTGTGTGTAGGCTTGCACAAAAACTACTGAACGAACTGAGCTGAAACTGAGTGGACGTGTGTAAGTTGGGGTTGTTGGCGGGGTATGCGCTCTCCGAGTACATGTTCTAGTTGTCTGTTCCTGACATGATTTGCTTTTTATGTTTATTGTAAATTGGCACTTTAAGAAAAATATTCATTCTGACACCAGTTTTTTTTTTTTGTACTGATTATCTGGACATGAAGTAGAGATTGATAATTCTTGCACTTTATCTACAATAAAATCACTCTGACAAAACTTTAATATTAATTGTGTCAAGTTTATAAAAGGGTTGCCAACTTACAAAACTTATAAATATATAACACAGCACGAGACCAAGACGAGACCAAAGTTGCCTCTTCCTTCTGAGGAGGCTGCGGTCCTTCGGAGTGAGCAGGCCTCTGCTCAGGACTTTTTATGACTCTGTGGTGCCATACACATACGCTGCCATGTGCTGGGCCCCGGGCAGCACAGAGCGAGACAGGAGCAGACTGAACAAGCTGGTCAGGAGGGCCATCTCCACTCTGGGCTGCTCCCTGGACTCTGTGGAGGAGGTGAGGGACAGGAGGGTGCTAGTCAAAGTCACCTCCATCAAGTACAACACCTCCCACCCACTGCACAGGACTGTAGAGGAGCTGAGGAGCTCCTTCAGTGGAAGACTGAGGCACCCTCAGTGCAAGAAGGAGCGCTACCGCAGGGCCTTTATCCCCACTGCTGTCAGACTGTACAATGAGTCACTTTAACTCACTTGCACTAGGACTATAAAATCTGCACTACCATTGACACTGTTTCTTGATTGCCACTTTGAATTGCCACTTTTTATTGTACATAATATATCCTCCAATTAACATGTTTTCCCCAGGGCACACTGACAGCTTGGTTCTATAGTTGGTTTTCACACATGTTTTGGCCTCTGTCACATCAGCTTTTTCATACACAAAAGTGAAAAAGAGAAGACCTCCCTCACTCATCCAATCAGCCCAAAGTACTGTATCAAATAGTGACTCACAGGGCTCTGTCTTACAAGTATGCAAAAGATGTGCAAAAGAGTGAAAACGACACCACCCTATCCTTGTGCTAATCGGCTTCAGCAATAGTCAAAGTGGTTTATTTGACTGTTGCTGACATACTTCATTTGAATCAAGATATTTATTTTATCCAAAAGACTAGTCCTTAAACCTCGACTGATAAAGGTAAGTTTAAAGTGGTGACTTCTTTGTGTATTTAATTAATGTGTTTTGTCCTTACTATGGGTTTTCTGTATTTTAAAGATTTTGAGAGGACGGCACAATGGGATTTTAAAAGTTGGAAATGTGTATTAAAAATAATTATAGCTGTGATGTGCAGTTGATTTTGCTACTGTATAATTTAACAGAAGAAAATATGATACTATTTCATACTGACAGTGCTGCGTTAAATGGTCTTCAAAACAAGTCTTCAAAAACCAACCTTTTTCTCACTATTGATCTGTTAATTGTGTTTTTTATAGCAATTTATGCAGGTTTTCATTTTTTATTATTATTTCTTTTACACTAAGACAATAATTCCTTCTCTTGGGTCCTCTGCCACACATCTTTTTGGATTTTTATGCATTTTTTTGTATACTGAATCTGTCATAAATAAATGTAATTTATGCACATCATGTACAGATCTTTATAATCCGTACTTCTGTAAACTAAATAAAGAAATAAGAAATAAATAAGTAAAGAAGCCACAATTTAATTTTTTTTTTATTCGGGAAATTTATTCCCAAATCTCTGTTTTCCACAGAGAATATTTATATATTTCTATCCTCCACTGTCGTACCTTCTCAGCTACCACCAAAAGCTGGTTCTGATTACAATTATTGCCAGTGAAGGGGACAAATCTCAGGTGCACTCATCTGTAATTGATACAACCATCTCTTTAAAACTTGTATTTACTTTTTTTGTGGCATTGTTGTTTCATGTTCCCTTTTAAGATGACTTCAATCGAAGTTTTCATAGTGAAAATATATTATATTGACAATATAACAATATAGTATTATCTGTATTAACAAAATTGGTATTGAAAACAGTCCTTCTTCTTGAAAAAAACCATCACCAGTACAATTGGCTGGAGGAGAATAATTCAGGCAATGGTAATCCAGAAGCTGTGGGATGGATGGAACCCATATTGTATAACAAAACACTTCTCTCCACCTTCACGATTTGAAAAGCAACAAACCTTCACTTTAAAAAGCGGAGTCCTGCAGGGTTCCATTCTCAGCCTACTTTTGTTAAATTTTTACTTCCTCTTGGCCACATCATAAAAATATAATATGCAATACCATAATGAATGACATTTACCTGCCTTGACAATATCAGCAACTGCATGACTGGCAACTTTTTTCAAATAAATCCAGATAAACCACCTTTGGTCAAAGGACTTGGGTCAAGAAGCTTTGTGAAAAACCTTTAAAAAAATACAAAAGTACAAAACTAAACTGTCCTTACATTTAGGAAAAAATGCAGATTCCTCTCCACTAAATACAGTGAAATACATTTGTAACAAATAAAATAGACATTTTAACCTTTTATACATTTTAAACCTTTTTCAGGTATGGTCTGACATGTTTCATCAAAGGTAACATTAGCTGTTGTTACCAGATGCAGCCAGTGTGACAGATCAGGCGGATCCATCAGACAGGGAGTGGGGCACATAGACCATCAACAGAGACAAGGGGGCCTATACCTTGGCTCACACATGGGACTCACTTCTGAAGAGCACTCTTTGTATCTACTGGCTCCTGATTCAGGATTGATTTTATGAGCCTCAGGTCTCAAAGATTTTCCCGATATAGCAGGTTGAAGCATGTTATGTCTTGTTTAACAAACGCCACACTCTCCGTTATAAACGTACAGTTTCTGTGACGGTTTCAGATGCAGATGTCCAACAACTCCTCCCTGCTACAATGCAACAACATAGGGAGTTATGTGGCCTTCACCAGCTGGATCGCCGTCTACCTGCACATCTTTCCCACCTTCATATCCGTCACTTTCTTCGCTTTCAGAAAGTGGAAGTGGCACCGCTCCACCATCACCCACTCGGACGTCTTCACTTTCCACATGGTGGTGATGGAGCTCCTGAACCTTGTGGGCTCGGGCTTGAGCTTCGTCCGACTCATGTGGCGACCAAACTTATCTGAATCTGGAATTGGCCTGAAGTACTTTGCCTCCATCGGCGTGATGTGGCTCCACATTCTGACCTGCGTAGAACGCTACATGGCCGTGGTTCACCCAATCACGTACCTGCGTTTGAAGAAAAGGGGCGGAGTCACCATCAGGAACATTAGCCTCGGTTGGGCTTGGGTGTTTAGTGGCGCCTTTGTGATTCTAGAGAAAAATTTGAGCAATTATACTTCAAGTGGGCAGATTATCGGGTTGGGGATTGCAGTTGTTTGCGCTTTTATTCTTTTGTTCTTTAGCGTTACTGTTCTCTGTGTTCTGATTCGTCCAAAGCCTGGGGAAGTGGTTGGTGGGAACAGAAGGGTTGACCAATCCAAACGAGCAACCATGTACACCATGATATACATTCTGGGAGCTCTGATGTTGAGGATGGCTGCTGTGGTAGTTTTCTACACCTCTCATTTTGACCATGATATCGAACTTTGCTTTGCGATTGTGTTTATGTATTGGCTCGCGATACCCAGCAGTCTGGTGTTGCCTCTGCTTTTTCTCCACAGGGAAGGTATATTATAAGAGGAAAAAAGAAGTGATTGATTTCCCAAATCTTTGTTCCTCATGTAACTTGATTTGGTAGTCACTGTGTGAAGTTTTGAGAACCGACTCGACTCTCGATGCGATAGAAAGATTAAATCATTTTCAAAAAACAAAAAGTTTGCAGTCAAAACAAGTCACGGTAAATACACCTTACTGAAACTGTAACAACCTTTATAATCCAAAGAAGCAGTTTCCCCTCGTCTGTCAGAGAGAAAGTCAAGAGCCTCAAAATGTATATATAGATAGATGGTTTTTTATTATAGTGTTTTGCACACGAGGATGCCCAGCCCACATGGGATTATATCATTAACACAAATACTGTTATGGTTTTGGTTTTTGTTCTGCTCCCCTCCCCCCTGTGTTTTGTGTTGCAGCAGAGCAGTGTGTGGCAGGGGCGTGGCTGACTTCTCCTGGTGCTGAGTCTCAACACCTGTGCGTCATCACTAATTAAGACCAGTATGAATGCCTGGATTTCTCAGCACCACACTGCCAGATTATTCCATCGTGCTCGATACCGCCTGAGTCGGAGTTGAAGTCGGCCTATTCCCTGCCACCACTGCCTGCCACCACTGCCTGCCTCCAGTTTTGTTGGGAAATAAACTCTTTAAACTTTTGTCCGTAGCAGTCTCTGCTTTGGGGTCCAATTGCTAAACCCAACAAATACAGAGACATGTACAACACTCCTTACCCATCACAGCCATTGAAACAGAAATATTATACATGAATAGGAAATATCATCACAGTTTTGCTTTATTTTTTACTTTAAGTTATTCTGAACAAAGACACAGATTTTCCCTATAATAATAAATGTATCTCTCCATCCATCTATCTATTTACAGTATCTATATATTCATAAACATTTGACTTAGACAACTTATAAAATTATAAGAAATATACCATATGTGGTTCATTCTGATGCTTGTTTCTGAGTCTTTTGTTCCACTGGGAGAACAGGACTGTTTTGAATGAGAGGCGTTTGTTGTTCATGCTATATTTGAATCGAAGTCACCACAGAGGAGTTTGTGCAAATGTGCATCACCGTGTCGTTTTTGATTCTGAGGAAACTAGGACAACAGGAAACTGGGGCGACAGTAGCTCAGTTGGTAGAGCCTTTGAGCCTGAAGGTCGTGGGTTCGAGCCCACCTCAAGACCTACTTCACGACTCCCACTGATGACTGCTGTCGTTGTGTCCTTGGGCAAGACACTTAACCCCACTTTGCCTGAAGCCCCCACTGAAAGATCTCAGCTCCTGTGGACTCACCACCTGCAGGAGGATCAGTGAGAGGCTGGTCAAAATCATAGAAACAATAGTAATTTTTTGTTATGATGCAAAAAGATGTAGCACACATGCACATGCACGGCTAAAAGTGATGTTTTCATTGTTTTGGCTATCAGGCCCTTTGGATTCTGTAGAGTAGCTCTTTTGGGAATTCCACATAAAAGTAAAGTAAAACGAAAAACATTACTCAAAAATAGTGTAGTAATCCATAATAATCTGAAATGCCTCTCGAAAGTTCTAACACAACTTGAACTTGTGCACATTTTGTCATGTGTAGGATAATGAACATAATGATTTGAATTCATTTTGTTACTCAAAGCTGTTCTGTGAGGGCCTCAGAGCTCTGGTTGGAGTGAATTGGTCAACAGCATCATGAAGGCCAAGGAGTGTACAGGAGAGGTCAGGGAGAAACTTATGGACGATTTTGAAGCAGCCTTAAGTTATATAAACATTTCCAAAGATTTGAAAATCTCAATTCATTATTCGTAAATGGAAAGATTACGGCACAACTACAAATCTGCCAAGACATAGCTGTCTCTCCCAAACTCACAGCTCCAACAAGGACAACACTGATCAATCGTGCACACGGGGCCGATAACACACTGGCTACGCTGGAGCAGCTGCAAACATCCACATCTCGCCTGGGGGAATTCGAATCCCTTACGAGGGGTAAATAGAAAGCCAGTGCAAAATCTAACACATCTCCCTCAGTGCAGCATTGTGTTATAATAATAATGCATCGGTTTTATATAGCCCTCTTTTGGACACTCAAAGACACTTTACAAGTAATTAATTATTCTTTCACTCCATACACAGTGGTGATAAACTACTACTGTAGCCACAGCTGCCCTAGGGCACACTGACAGAAGCGAGGCAACCGGTATGCGCCATCAGCTTCTCCGACCACCACCAACCATTCACACACACACCAGACTCATTCTAGGCAATGTGGGTGAAGTGACTTGCCTAAGGACACAACGGCAGTTTGACACTTTACAGCCGCAGCCGTAAAGTATATGAACAAAGTCCAGATAATTCTTGACTTTGTTCATATATTCTCCCCTCAATCTGTTGTGTGTCTAATAGCAGCAAGCAAAAACTAGTGACACTTCACTATAAACATGTTTAATTCTGACAAATTTTTAAATACAAAATATTAAAGGATTATTTAACGGTGTTTGATTGTGACATGTATATTTCTTTAAAAAAAAAAAAAGGATTTTGTTTTAGGGTCTTTGTTCTTTTCCTCCAGATGAGCAGATTCCATGTCAAACAACCCCATCACCTGAGAAAAAATATAGTTATAATATTTATGGGTGCAGTGATCCAGCTTTTTGATGATTGATACAGCTCCGAGACTATGGACGATCCTAGTGAACAGACTGACAGGTGGCACATGTATAGAATCAAGTACCTATATGTTTAGTAAATGTATGCAGCTACTAAGGTTCCACAGCACATGAGTAAAAGGAAAAAGTGCAAGGTTAAGATTTGTTATTAAATAAAAAATAGTACAACATCCTGCCACACAATGTTTTAGTTTTAATCATTTAAGTGTTTTTATCTGTTAACCAATAATGGAGCTTTTGCGAAATTTTACTGTGGTAGACCCGGCTGCTGCTGCCCAGACCTACAGGCCTGCTCATCCTCGGCTCATCATACCAGCAACGCCCACATCCAGTCAACCAATAACCACCAGGACAGCAAGTTAAAAGCCGGAAACGCCCACTTCCCGGCCTCTCAAGTCTGCAAGTGTATGTTAGCTGAAACGCATCTATTCACCATGCAGTCTTCGACCCATGCTCGTGCGTCCCCGTCTGTTTCGGGCTCGACGCCTAGCTCCCTGAACGACTTGTTCGTTCCCCCCTCGCCTGTGCCCGACCGGTCCCGGAAGAGCGCGCGTCTGGCGTCCCAAGATGCCGGGTCCGTCCGCACCTTCCTCGCGGCCCGCGGCGTCGTGCCAGGTCCGGGTGCAACCCCGCTGCAGCTCCAGCGCCTCGTGGAGCAGCTGTCGGCGGATTCCGCCTCCCCCCCCCCGGCTCCGGACTCCCATCCTCGCAAGCGCCGTCGCAAGGCCAGGCACCTGCAGCCTACACGCGCCTGCCCCCCCTCCTCTGCGCTCGACGGGCCCCTGCTTCCCCCTGCTTCGTCGGCCTGCCCCGTGCCCGCCCCAGCGCCTCGCCTCATCGACATTTCCCAGGCCGCCCCGGCGGTTCCCGGTTTGCCCCCTCCCCAGCCGGATCCTTCCGCTGCAGTCTTCGCGGCCCACGTGGCGGCTGCGGCCCAGGATTGTGACTTCCTCTGCGTGCGCACGGACGCCATCCTGTCGGCGGTTTCGTCTCTCCGGCGCTCGGTGGCCGCGGTGTCCGGCCGGCTCCGTGTTGTCGAGTCCCAACCTCCCGCCGCAACCCCGGTGCCCACCCCCGCCGTGGCTCCGGTGGCTGCTCCTACCACTGCGGCTCCCCGGACATCGGCTTCTCCCTCTCCACTGCTGTGGCTGCTGCTGCGTCGGGTAGGCCCTTCATAAATGCCTACTCCAACGTCTCCCCGCGCCTGCGGTCTAAGATTCTGCTAGGACGCTACGTCAACTTGGTTTCCCTCATCCTCCCCTCCCCCGAGTGTGACAGGCAGGTGGCGGCCTCCTCCCTGGTCACCGCGGTCGTAAAGGCTGCTGATCCCCGCCTGTCGCGGGAGTTGTCCATCGGGGAGTTTCTCGTGGCCTTCGGCGTATACCACGACGTTCTGTGCACCGTATAACCCGAGCACAGGCCCGAGCTGGACGCCTATCTGGGCCTGATGGGGGACCTGGCCCTCCGCTAAGGCGGTTGCGTTTTCTACTGCTACCATCGGGCCTTCGCCGCCAAGGCCGCGGCCCTCATCTCCCAGGCAAATATCAGAGCAGACTGGGCGGTCTTAGATACTGAGGTTTTGCTGCTGTTTGTTGGCGGTGCCCCCGCGGTCTCCTGCTCCCGGTGCGGCGCTGCCGGGCACAGCTCTCCCCTCTGCCCCTCCGTTCCGTTCGACCCCGCCGCTGATCAGGCTCCTAGGCCCCGCGCGCCTTCGTTCCCCAAAGAGGAGTCTGTGCAGGGAGGCCCATCCACGTTCCTTATGCCCGCGTCACCCCCGGCAGGGCCGCCGTTCCGGGGGGCCTTCGTACAGGCCCTGATCACCACCCACCTCTCAACCCCAGTCTCCGTGCCCGTGCTGGCCCGCGCGCTCACGCTCCATCCTGATTGGGCCTTTGTTAATTTTCTGCTGACAGACCTGGCCCGGGGCTTCCATGTTGGCGTGGCGGCTCTCCCCTCGGCGTCCTATGTGTCCCGCAACCTGCAATCCGCTCTCCGCGAGCCCCTCGTGGTCACGCGGCTCCTCGCGCGGGAGGTGTCCAAGGGCTACATCATCGGCCCCTTTTCCAAGCCCCCCTTTTCCCCGTTTCGCTCCAGCCCGCTGGGAGTTGCCACGCGTAAATATTCCGGGAAGAAGCGCCTTATTTTTGATTTATCCCACCCCCGCTCCGGGCCCGTTCCGAGTATTAACAGTCTCATCCCTCTTGAGCCCTTCTCCCTGTAGTACGCCACCGTGGATCACGCAATCCGGCTGGTGAAGGCCTTCGGCCCTGGGTCCTGGCTGTCAAAGGCGGACATCACGGACGCCTTCAAGCTGCTGCCCATTCACCCCGATCACTGGCACCTGTTTGGGGTAAAGTGGCGCTCCAGTTTTTATTTTGCTGCGCGCCTCACGTTTGGCTGCAGGAGCAGTCCTTCCTTATTTAACAATCTTTCTGAGGCCTTGTGCTGGATTCTGCTAAACAATGTCCGGCTCCCCTCTGTCCTCCATCTCCTAGATGACTTTCTCCTCGTCGATCCCCCCGCAGACGGCTCCGGGGACTCGCTCCGCAAGCTGAAATCGGCCTTCTCGGCCTTCGGGGTCCCCCTGTCCGAGGAGAAAACTGTGGGCCCTGCCACCGCCCTGGAGTTTCTCGGTATCCGCCTCGACACGCGCGCCATGGAGGCCTCCCTCCCGCTGGAGAAGCTCCAGCGCGTGCGCGCTGTGTCGCAGTCTGCCCTGTCCTCTCCCTTCATCACAAAGCGCGAGCTGCTCTCCCTGCTCGGGCACCTCAATTATGCCAGCCGCATTGTTCCCCAGGGCCGCTCTTTCATTTCGCGTCTTCTCACCCTCGCGGGTTCGGTCCCCTCCCTGCACGACACGGTCACCCTAGACGACGGGTGCCGCTCCGACCTGGACTTTTGGTTGCGCCTGCTGGACCGCTGGAACGGCGTTTCATTCTTTTACGACGATATCGTCCGGTCCTCCGACGATCTCCGCTTCTACACGGACGCTGCCTCTTCCGTGGGTTTTGGGGGGTTCTTCCAGGACCAGTGGTTCGCCGGGCCGTGGCCCGCTACTTTTCCCCGGAGCATCTCCTCGGCCCCACACGAAATATTCCCAGTGGTCGTGGCCTGCGCGCTCTGGAGTCACACGTGGCAGAGAAAGAGGATCTCTGTCATGTGTGATAATCTCGATGTAGTGGAAGCATTAAACAAAGGTCGCTCTTCTTCACCCAACATAATGTCCTTTCTCAGACGCATCACATGGCTCTCCGTTTAAAACAATTTCATCATCACTGCACGCCACGTTCCCGGTCACCTTAATCAAATTGCTGACTGTCTTTCTCATTTTAAATTTCAGGAGTTCCGGCGCCTCTGCCCCTCAGCCTGCACGGAGCCACGCGCAATCCCTACCATGGATCAACTAATCCTGGACTAATCTCCCCTTCCCTCTCTCACCTCCTCTCCTCTGCTTCATCCTACATGAAAAAGGGCCTCTCCCCCTCTACCCTGTCTACATACAGCTCCGCTTGGAGAGCCTATTCCCTCTTCTGCCACGCTCACAACATTTCTTCGTTACCTTCATCTGTATCTACTGTCATGGCTTTTATAGTTCACTGCTCGGACAATCTCCATTACAAAATAACTTACATCCGTACGCTGCTCTCTGGCATTCAGTTTCAGGCCCGCTGTCATAACGCCGCCTTCTCCTCTCTATTCTCCGAACCCTCAATCAAACGCCTCATCAAAGGCATCCACAAATGTACTCCCCACTCTTCTGATCACAGGCTCCCCATCACACTGCCCATCCTGGAACAGCTCTGCGCCACACTGAACTCTGGCTCTCTTTCCAAGTACACGTCTGCTCTCCTTCGCAGCGCGTTCCTGCTCGCCTTCTATGGCTTTCTCCGCATAAGCGAGTTCACCACTGCTCACTCAACTTTTAATGCGGCCCTAGACATTGCTTTTTCCGATCTGTCCTATTACCCTGACCATTTCAACCTTCATCTCAAACATTCAAAGATCAAAGGTGCCTGCAACATAATAATAGCTCGCTCCGACACATCTCTCTGCCCCTACAAGTCCATGATGCGTTACACTCGCCTCCGCTGCAAAAAAGGAGATTTTAACGGACCTCTATTTCTCACTCCAGACAACCTTCCCATGACAGCAACCTGGTTCAGAGCTCAGCTAAGATCCCTACTGCTCCTCTGCAATTTGTCTCCCCAGCTCTATACAGCCCACTCCTTCAGGATAGGCGCTGCCACGCGCGGCCTCGCTGAGGCTCTCCCACTCTTCTCTGCAACAGCTGGGGCGCTGGTCCTCTTCGGCTTTCTCCGCCTACATCAGGCCAGATGCGACCGCTATCCTGGCAGCACAACGTCTACTGGCTTCCTCGTAAGCTCCCAGCAAAGCAATGCAAAGCAAAAGTAAGTAAAGCAATAAGATTCTGGTGGCGGCACGCACTTTCCTCAAACGCTCTCCGCTGCTGCAGCGTCTGGCTGAACATGATGCATGCGCTTATGTTCTCAGCTCGCTCAAAGATGCCCCAGCTGCAGCGCCTGACTGAACATGATGCGAGCGCTCATGTTCCCAGCTCGCTTAAAGATGCTACAGCGTCTGGCTGAACATGATGCATGCGCTCATGTTCTCAGCTCGCTCAAAGATGCCCCAGCTGCAGCGTCTGGCTGAACATGATGCATGCGCTCATGTTCTCAGCTCGCTTAAAGATGCTACAGCGTCTGGCTGAACATGATGCATGCGCTCATGTTCTCAGCTCGCTCAAAGATGCCCCAGCTGCAGCGTCTGGCTGAACATGATGCATGCGCTCATGTTCTCAGCTCGCTCTGCCCAAACAAACGCGGGCCCCAGCGGACGCAGCCTGGCTGAGCGACCGTGCAAGAAGCCTCGCACTCATGCTCTCAGGCCTGCGCAGTGCGTCCTGCTATCCCATCGCAGGCCCGCTTTTTGGGGGATTATGCGCGCGAGCATGCGCCGCGCTCAACAGCATCTCTCCCGGGCCTAGGGCGCCAAACATGCTTAATCTAATAAACATGCTTAAATCTAATAACTTCTAACGGCATTTTGTGGGTCTCTCTAAGGTGAAATGGAGCTTTCGCGAAAGTTCACTGTGGTAGACCCGGCTGCTGCTGCCCAGCTCTACAGGCCTGCTCATCCTCGGCTCATCATACCAGCAACGCCCACATCCAGTCAACCAATAACCACCAGGACAGCAAGTTAAAAGCCGGAGACGCCCACTTCCCGGCCTCTCAAGTCTGCAAGCCTCCGCCGCCCCACCTCCTCCTTTTCTCATCGAAGCGTGCTTGCCTACTGCCTCTGCCGCCACCAGTGCCTAGGCCCCGGGGGGGATTATGCGCGCGAGCAAGCGCCGCGCTCAACAGCATCTCTCCCGGGCCTAGGGCGCCAAACATGCTTAATCTAATAACTTCTAACTGCATTTTCCCTGGTGGACTGCTTTAACATGCAAAGCTACAGAAGAGATAAGAGCGTCACAAACAGGAAACCTAATCTGACCAAATGTAGAGCCGTTTTAGTCCTAAGTCCTAGTTCAGACCTGGACATGGCCTTCACATTCCTAGTTTTGTCCGTCTACATCTGGGATAAGACATATTCATGTATTTATGTTCACAAATATTCAGCAAATAGATTAATTTTGGAAGTGGAAAAAAAGAGTCCAATAATGACTCACAGGGCTCTTTCCTATGTCAGTGTGCAAAAGACATGTTTTTTTTCTAATAATATTATCCATCCATCCATTTTCTACCCTTTAATCCATTTCTGGGTCAGGGGGGTGGCAATCAGAGATGCCACCCAAGTCTCATAGCACCAGCCCCTCACTGACCCTCTGCAGGTGGTGAGTCCACAGGAGGACGGCTGCTCTCTGAGTGTGAGCATAGCCTTGATCTTTCAGTGGGGGCTTTGGGCAAAGTGGGGTTAAGTGTCTTGCCCAAGGACACAACGACAGCAGTCATTAGTGGGAGTCGGTGGAGAAGGTGCAGAGGTGGGAATTGAACCCACGACCTTCTGGGCTTAAGGCCAATGCTCTACCAACTGAGCTACTGTCGCCCCCTAATAATAATATTAAGAATGGTTGTAATTGATTTTTTAAAAAAAAATTCACAAGATCCTGTGAAAAAAATACAGATTAGTGAGACAAAAAAGTTTAGGTATACAGGCTTTAATATTACGTTTTGCAAACAAGTCAGACCACAACATGCTGTCCCGGGGAGTCAGTGTATGACAGCTATAAAACGGATGACTAATCAAACAGTTGTAGATACCCCTGGGCATTTTATATTTGCATGAAGAATATTTTTGACGGGTTGGTTTGTTGTGAGTGGTTTTGACAACAGAGGACGCTCTTGTGTTGACAGTCCTTTGGCCCCACACCTCCGCAGATTGGTGTTACGATGTTGGTGTAGATGAAGAAGAACCGATCCAACCCAAGCTGAACTTCACTGGTGAGTTTAACCATGGATCTATAATAACTGGATAGGGTATTACAAGCTTATAGCTGTCCCACCCATGGGCACAGGGGGCGCCCGTGGCACTGCAGACCAAATTCACGTGGGCTACACAGAAAAAAGTCCCATTGAAATAAACGTAAACTAAAACAGCTCAACCTCAGCTGAGAGAGAACCTTCAGCTTTCATAAAGATCGGATTTTGTGGGGATTTTTTTTTCTTCTTAAATCCTTTCGGTTTACTTCAAATCCACACTTTACTGCCACAAAGTCTGCTCGTTTCCTTCCCGCTCTACCACTGCTCTGATCAGTTGATTAGTCAGAGCGCGGCCGAGCCCCTCTGTGCACGTGCACGAGTCACACACGCGTATTTGGCACAATGCAGGCGAGTTCTGCTAATCTCCCGGTCCCTGTGAAGTCCCATGCTCTACTGAGCACAAGCCATTCATTTGAATAGGGCGCCATCTTGGATCACTGGGGCTTGAGTTGAACACAAACACTGTTTGTTGTCTACATTAGCGAACGTCCTCTGTTGTAACCAGAGAAAATTAACAGCTCCAGAAAAACTGGATGACATATTGGTATCTTTATGGACCAGGAATTTAGTATTTTCCTAAAAATACAATGTGGAAGTCTGTAGCTCAGAAAAAATGTATACGTCTGTAGAAAATAGTCAATATGCAATATGTCTGTCATTCTGACTGGTTGAAAAAGTTGTTTTTAGAGCCTTTCATGTTGTGTTAATTATATTATCAGTAGAGGTTAGTATTTATTGATAGTCTGCCTATTTTAGGACTTTTTTTGCAAGTGTGAATAAGACTTTCTGTGCATGTCTTCGTGGTAAAAATCTGTTTCTTTGGGCTGGGGAAAAAAATACGAGCCTTAGGTGTTCTCCCGTTTCAGTGGAAAATATAAAAACAAGTTAATGTTCTAAAACCAGGTCATTACCAACTTATTCTTTAAACGGTTGGAGGTCGACTGACAGAAGTTACCAGTGAGTTGGCTTTTGGAAGAGTCCTGAGGCCGTGGATAGGCTTAAATGGATCTGTTGCAAAGACTAAAGTGTAAAGAAACTCGTACTGCTTTGTTACCGGACATGTTCGGGCAGTAGACTCCCGCCTTTGTCCGAGGTGACACGTGATGTTGTGGCGTGTCTCTTATCAGCTGTTGTTACCATGGATCTATAATAATCTTATTAACGGATGCAACCAGTCTGACAAAATCCATCTGATCTGATCTGATCTGAGAGCGGGAGTCTACACTTTTGTCTCTTTAAAAAGAAACTTCTAAGCCTTAAATATAAAAAAGACACAAACTTTTTTGCATTTAATATGAGGTCGAGCTGTTTCACACTGGAGTGGGCTTTCAAGTAAGTAAGTAAGTAAGTAAGCTTTATTTATATACCGCCTTTCACAGACCAGAGTCACAAAGCGGTTTACAATTGTTATTTTTTGGGCATTTGTCTCTCACTCCACACAGAGATGGGAGCGGGGTCGCCGAACAGGAGGCGCATGCCAGACCTATTGTACATATTTTTAGCGGTAGGGGAAACCGGAGTACCCGGAGGAAACCTACGCAGACACAGGGAGAACATGCAAACTCCACTCAGAAAGGCCCTGGTCCGGCCGGGATTCGAACCCAGGACCTTCTTGCTGAGAGGCGAGAGTGCTATCCACTCAGCCACCGTGCCGCCCGGCCCTTTCAGGTGGTGTGTTCAGGTAAAAATGGTCTTCATCATAAAACCTCTCTGTCTGACTGTGAGATCATCATTTTTAGGAAGTGTGCCTTGTTCTATTTATATTTACTACTCAACTTACTCACTTCACAATCAGCAACAATGTACGGTGGATAGATAGCTATGGCCTATGCAGGTGGACAAACGCTAGAGTTTGACAAGGGTAAGGGTAAGGACTGAAGTTAGCTTATGTGTTAAGAATAGGGTAAAGGTTAGGGTTATGAGTCCACGATCAATTTGTAACAGTGATCCTGGACTGTAAATTACTTCAGTAATTAAGTAAAATCCTCCAGCTGCAGTTGTCCTGACCAAGCATCAACATTTGGAAATGGACAGTAGCAACCACTGCTCCTTAGTATTCTTTAAAATTGGCTAATCATCACTTTTATCATTCACATGCTCTCTTAAAAAAACTACACCTGTGAAATGGCACGTTATTTTACTTTGCACCAAGTCCCGGGAGCTGTGTATTCTCTTTCCAGCGTGCAGGGCACTAGTACCTTCCTTTGTTTCCCTTACTCCGGTTCAGAAACACTGTCCTAAAGGTACTTTATCAAGGAAATGAAAGCTAACTCAGTAACACATCTAAATAAGAAAGTTCTTTGGATTAAGAATGTAATCTTTATATGTAATCTTTATTTATATATACCGCCTTTCACAGACCAGAGTCACAAAGCGGTTTACAATTGTTATTATTTTTGGGCATTTGTCCACTCACTCCACACAGAGACAGGAGCGGGGTCGCCAGTACAGGAGGCACATGCCAGACCTATTGTGCATGTTTTTAGTGGTAGGGGAAACCGGAGTACCCGGAGGAAACCTACGTAGACATGGGGAGAACATGCAAACTCCACTCAGAAAGGCCCTGGTCCGGCCAGGATTCGAACCCACGACCTTCTTGCTGAGAGGGGAGAGTGCTATCCACTCAGCCACCGTGCCGCCCAAGAATGAAACGTTGGAAAACCGTCTAACTGGAAAACAGATGATGGGTGAGCAACCTACCTTTGCTTTTCTTATCAACAAATGTTTAACCGAAACTCTTACAGAACTTAAGCTCAACAGGGTCTTCTTTTCCCACTGATTCCGTGGAAATTTCGTTCATTCATGCATGCACGATTGATTGTGTGTCCTCAGCATCACTGGACCCTCCCACCCTGTCCCTCTCTGTGACTGTCGGGGTCTCCCAGGCACAGGGTCAGGCCGTGCGAGTGCTGTTGGGCTCTCAGTTCATGGTTCAATGTTCAGTGAACCCTCAGTACCCAGAAGGCTCCTTCATGCTGCCCTCACCCTCTGGGAACCGTATCCTGCCGTCTGTCAATCACACCGGCTTCTCCCACAAAGGAAAATACACCTGTGTTTTCTTCCACTACTCCTCCTCTGCGAGCGAGAGTCTGCAGATTTCACTGGGAGGTATGAGTCAAATGAACAAACATTCCATATATCGTATATTCATGTTCATTCTATTACAGTGAAAGACTCTTGACCTCATCATGAGAGCTGTGGTCCTTTTACTGATGAAGATTTTGTACATCCTACCAATGTTCTATTGCTACTGCAAGGTACTGAAGGAAAAATTAAACGTAATTAAACGTAATAAAAGACTAAACGTAAGAGAGTCAAGCGCAGTTCAGAAAACAGGAACATTTTTAAATATAATGTGGAATGCTAAGGCTCAAAAGATAACAATAGAGAGAATACTTTGTCTCTTGTCCTGGTCACAGATACAGTGTTCTAGGGAAGACCACAATGAGCAAGAATTATTTGGACAAAGTCTGGCTCTGCTCACACCAGATGTGTTTTTGTTCTGTTGTTTCAGGCAAAGGCCAGAGGGGGCACTAGAGAGAGGATGCCACAGATTAAGTTTTTGTTCTGTTGTTTCAGGCAAAGGCCAGAAGGGGCACTAGAGAGAGGATGCCACAGATTTAAAGTACATTATTCCATTGTTTTTGGAATTTCATGTTTTAGAATGTGGGAGTAATTACATTCCAATTTTTTTATGTTTTGTTTTTAATGCCCCATGGAATTTTAATTGTATTTTGTTCTTCTTTATGTAGATTGTAATGTTTATGATTTATGCCTGATGTGTAATGGGTTGTGAGGCGCTTTGTGTTGCCTTGTGTAGGAAAGACACTTTACAGATAAAAGTTGATTGATTGGCAGCTCCAAATAAAAGACTGCATTATAAACATGTTTATTCTCACAAAGGATCTCTTAAATATCAAAAAACTATTTAACAATGTTTGAATTTGACCTTTTTAATATAAAAAAGTACTTTGATTTTAAGATGTTGAATTTGGGTTTGTGCAGCATGGGAGGATCTTCAGACGACTACATTCTTCATCTGCTCCAGATGAGCAGATTCATTGTCAAACGACCCAATCACCTAAAAAAATACAGTTCCAATAATTAGAAATGTAGTGGTTTTGCTTCTTCATGTCTGGTAAAAGCTCACGCGACTTTGGCTTTGGCTTAATATGAACTGATACCAGTGAAAATAACAGTGAATATACATTTTAATTTAAATTGTATTCATTCACATACACGCATGTGTTCGATGTGTGTACATACAGTATACACAAACACATGCATACATTTATACAGCTTCACCATGTGAATATATTAGATAGTTATAGACGAAAAATAGAATAGAAGAAAAACATATCTACTTCTCACCGGGGTAAAGGCCTGGTTGTGACGGAGGCAGGCGTCCTGGAGCTCACCGCGTAGTGCGGTGACATGACTCTGGTGGGCGGAGACTTCCTGCTGCAGCCAATCAGCTCTGGAGGAGAAGGTGTGTGACAGGCGCGCCACGCTGGACACAAGGCTCTAAAGATGGAAATATCTCTTCTTTACTGCTTAGGAAAAATACATTTAAGTTAAATTAAATTCAAGAAAAAAAATACCTGACAGGCCGCCACACCCGGATCTCCCATGAGGCCCTCTGCTCCACTCAGCGACCCAGGAAGTGTGAGGGGCCGGGGCTTAGAGCACTCAGGACGGTGGGATTGGACAAGATTTTCTCTGAACTGAGGAAAGGAAAACCACCAAATTGTTTTCTCACAAACAAAATTCAGAAAGTAATGAATTGGTCAGTTTGATCAAGACCTTTGAATGCAGTAGAGGGAAAATTACTTGATTGAATATGATTGGTCACATCTAAATAATTTAAATCATGTTAGTAATAGCATGCAGTTGTAATGAATGCCTTTAACCCTTTAAGGATCACCTAATTTCGCCTGCTCCTTCTCGAATTATGATACCCAAATGGAAATGCTTATTGTGTGGACATCTTGTGTCTGATTTTGTTATGAGGCCTCATTTGAAAGGTAACACCTTCTAGTTTCTGGAAATGTATGTTAACGTTTGTAAGGAAGGACACAGTCTGCCTACACCTTCTCAAACATGAGTCAAAGTTAGTTTTTAGTTAGTTGAAGGGGAGGCTTAGGGGAAGACGAACATACCCAGTGACACTAGGTAAACAGTAAAATGTCCTCTTCATACAGTGCGCAAAGAACAGGTTTTGTTTTTGTTTGTGCAACAAAAAAAAAACAACTGGATACAATTATTCTCTAGACCCTAACAAACAAAAAGAATGCACACATGTGTGGATTAGACGTGATTTGCCCCAGAATATTAGCATGAAAAGGTAAGAAAGGACAATATATATTTTAAATATATATACAGTTTGACTACTTATTCTTACTTTTGGTTATATATAATGTTTATTTGAACATAATACGCGTTTAGAGCTGGGAATAAGCTTTCAAAAGAGATATAGCTTGACTATATTGACACAAGTGAATTCTAATACTGATGCTGTAAAATGAAAAATAACTGAATCCTCCCTGTACAGGGAGGGTGATCCTTAAAAGGTTAAAAATGACCGGTAAGCAGAGTTTCATCCACTGTGTATGAAGCTCAAAACAACTCAAAGACAACTTAAACAACCATCGCAAGACTTTGCAAAAGTCAATGATTATTTTTACCTGTGTGCAGTCGCTCTCCGCTGCGTGCATCATCTCGATCAGTCGCTCTTTCTGCCTATGAAGAAGTAAGAAACACAAATCAAGTTAAAGAAGACAGAACATGCTTCTTTTGGCTTTACAGCAATTGGCAGCATGTCCAATTTGTTCTCTTTAAAACAGTAACTGTGGGATGGTGAGTGGACTCTCGTACTTGGTGGAGTTTTGGAGCTGGTCGTGCGCCTCTCGAAGCCTCTCCTCCAGCTGCCGTTTCTCCTTCTGAACGGAGGACAAGTGCTTTCCCAGAATCCTCAGCGAGCGCTCTTTACGGCTCACCTCACGACGGGCTTCGGACAGTAGCTGAGAAGGAAAGGAGGAAGCAGGGGAAAATTACTTTGAGCTCCATTATAGCAGGATATGACCATGTCCTTTGTTTTATTTGCAACTACAAAAGAAAAAAAAAACTTTCAAACTAAAACTAAAATAACAAAAAATAAAAGTAATCCTTTGTCAAAATACCTCCATATTATAAAAGATAAAAATAGACCTAAAAAAAAAGATCAAAAATCTGAGTAATGAAAGACGATGGATATTTTGCTATAAAAGCACAGCCTAAAGAAAAGTTAATCCTTAAAAGAGTTTGATATTCCAAATGACAACGAACCTTTTAAGCAAAACAAGAAAACTCAGTGTGATGGCCCTGCAAGTAAAATATTTTGGGCCTCCTTGTATTAGCCGTTGTATTAGCTCCACTGAGTTTTTCCTTAGTAGAAGAAGAGTCTCAGGATCAGAAACATTGTATAATACGTGTCCTTTAAACCATGATCTCTGACCTGGGCCGTCTGCTGTCGTGTCTCCTGAGCTTCGTTCTTCTGAGCGGTGATGGACTCCACGCTGTTCTGCAGATGTTTCAGTTGTGAGTTCAGCTCCAGGACCAGGGTCTGCGTCTCCTGCTCCCGACACAGCGCCTCCCGCAGCTCAGAGCAGGCAGCGTCAAAGCGATCGGAGGCCACCTGGACACAGAGGCGATTTTGTATCTACATAATTCAACTGTTTCTGCCTTTCTTTCTTGTCAGAGTCATGAGGCCAAAAGTAAATGAATGGTAATTGGACAAATCTGAAATCAGCAGATAGATAAGAGAAAAGAGAGACTTTATTGATCTCACACTGGGGTAATACACAATGCAGGTGCAGGTGTCGCTTGTATTGGTACTCACCATGTTACTGGCTTCTTGCTCCTTCTTCTTGGCGACTCGTCTGATATTACTCATCTCTAGTCGTAAGCTCCGCCTCTCCACCTCAGTCGAGTGCAGTCGTTGGCTGAAGTCCAGGAAGTGCTGCTGCAGACTACACACCAGCTCCTGATTGAAAAAAAAAAAAACACGTTATTTTGGCAGAATATTACCAAGAATTTCACCATTTAATACAAACTAACACAAATAATCCTTTAAACAAGATCTTAAAAACATTTACTTTTTTTGGAATGTCAAGTTCTAAATAAGTACAATGTTCACGCACACACCAGAAGGGAAAAAAGACAGTTTACAGTCAGCAGCTGTAGCACCAGAGGTCTCCCATCACAGTACTCACCAGCCCCTGCCCTGCTTATGGAAGCAGTGCAGCTCTATCCATGATGCTGTAGTTTGATTATTCAAGACTGATATTTTTAGGCCTGCCTTAAAACTTACAACGTACAACTTCACGTTACGCAAGAAAAGCAGTTGTTTCTTCAAACACACTGCTAGATTCATTATCAAATCAGATTAATCATAAATTATTAAATCAATGTTATTATTTATATACAGTTATACAGCCTTTATTGCCAATAGTGCCACTATTCTCCCAGTTGTAATTCGAGATTGATAGACCCCTTTAGAGATTAATGCACTCACCTTCACACGGGGCTGCATTTCCGGCCGTCTCATTGGACGGTTGGCTTGACTTGTGACAGTCACTGCGTTCGATTGGTCAACAAGGTGTTCCAGGAGGCGGGAAAAACCAGATTGAACTGCTGACATCACACTCTGAGGTGAGGAGCCTGAAATATAAAAAAATATATATAAATGCATGATGGAATATAGTACGACTAGAATGAGCATAACTTTCAACAAAAACATAACATTTCCATTGAGGCAGTACTGCAGAGTTTGAAGACAGAGCATTTAGACAGAAGGGGCAGGGAGACATGTATGTGTAAATTTGTGCCAGGAGAACAGGGTTTCAGCGGAAAAGAGTACATAGTGAAAAAGATACAGTAGATTCTTTACCCGACAGCGCCACCTGGAGGTCAGACATGGACGACAACACCAAAGAGGACAGATGTTTGGAGCGGAGCCACTGAGCAAGACACATCTCTCGACTTCCTGTGTGGGGGCCGAGACAAAAACATGTATGACTTTAGAGGGAGAATTATTACCAGAGATGATGCATTACTTGGATGTTTCACTTTACTGTGCTCTTTAGAACATTTTACATTTAACACACATTATGGATTATTGTGTTCATTTTGCTTAATCTCTAGACTTGGAATCTTATGTTTTAAGTTGAAAATATCTGGATGAAAATATCAAATTGTCTAAAGTGGCACAACATCTCCCTCTGTTGGTGGACTTCATTATTACTTGAAAATTCCAGATTCATAGCCACAGGCCAATGTACAGGATGTAGTTTAACTGGAAAAAATGCCAACATTGAATTAATAGCCAGAAGGGGGCGGGGGAAATATTTTAGCAGGAAGTTATTGACATTAGCGTGGATGGAGGTAAAAACAACCCAACGATGCTGTAACTATGGTGTGTTTTGAAGTCTGTCTTAATCGCGTGGAATAATTAGTCAGATTAAAAACAAACAACAGACCAGCGTTATTCTCGTCTCCACACAACGACACGCCCACAGTCTGCAGCCTGAACAGCACGCGGCTCATCTTTCCCAGGATGCACCACTTCCTCAGGGCCGACAGCGCGGTGAAGGCCCGCCTCCACCTCCGCCGCACGCTGTTCTTCTTCTGCAGCTGGACGTCCGTCTCTTTGGCCTCCAGAGCCTCCAAGAGCGACATGACTTCCTGTTCCAGCACGTCACGATCAGACAAACGGCGGCAGAGAAACGCCTTCTGCTCCGACAGACGCTGGACACGAGACTGAGACAGAAACAAAAGACTCGTGGTCAGGAAGTCTGAGCACCTGGGTTTACAGGTCAAAAACTTTTAATTTAATGTTCAGGACATGTGTTTTCTCTTTGAAGGAAGTTTGTTTTTGTCTGTGAAAAATGTTTTCACTTGAAATTACCAAAAGAGCCCTACAGAAATATTGGATTAGTCATTTAAGCATTATATAAAATACGATACACAGTGTTAGGTCTTGGTTCAATAGATTATATACTGTAGAATCATTTTAATATGTTTTAATAAACATTGAACCAGTTCGGCCCTTGGTTTGTAGCAAATTTGTTTTTTTGGCCCTCTGATGTATTTGACTTTGACATCCCTGGTCTGAATGCTCAGATGTCAAACCAGGTACACTGTATTTAGACTTTTTAAACTGTTTTTGTTAATTGGTTTCACAGTGATAATGGTATCTTGTGCATTTGAGCTTTATCATTGACTTGTCTGGTGCACATCGATGTACTATTGCACATGTATTCCAATGTGGTCTAACTGCAAATAGCAAATTAACTGAATGTTGAATCCTCACACTAATATGTCATGTTTAGAGCTGTTATCTACCATTTAAAAGTATTGCCTTCAATGTAGTTTTTACCTGTACTAAAAGAGAATATCAGGGTGAAGATAGAAAAGCTCTACTTATACAAAAAAAAAATATATATATGAGAATACAAATAGAATCTCTGATTTTTGTCAAAAAAATTAGCTCAGGACAATCGCGTCACACCTGTGCGTGCGTTAGGGCTCCTCCCAGCAGAAGACACGCCCACTGGAACCTAACCGACTCCTCGCACAGAGACGAAAGGTCAGACGTCAGCGAGGTCACTCGATCCTGCAGCTGACGGCCCTCAGAGCGGCTCGACTGAAAATCACAACCGTGATGAGAGACGTGTATGAAACAAACTAAACTTTTAATCATGTCACTACATTGTTCTTTCATCAAAAGGAGACTTGTTTTCAGTTTCATGCACACTGGGGTTGAGACCAAGCTGCAATAACATTATTATTGCAGTATTCATATTTGTGGGAAGATAGACTTAAAATCAAAATGGAATAGTGTTCAGTTTCTTCTCAATGATCTGGAAACAGAGGTTTATTCTAAAGAATGTAACCTGGCAATTTAAGTCACAGCGAAAGCGTATTTAGGTCTGAGCATTTCGACTATTGTCTTGTAAGCTCCCACTGCCAACAGTAGATGGGGGTGTTTCCTCAGGCTTCCTGACAAGAGCTGATTTATTCATCATTTCAAAATTGTAAAGCAAAAACAAGGCACATTGGATAAGACATAAAATAACTGGTATATATTTTCAGATCAAATAGAAGGAAAATAAATGGAAGTATATTTTGAAATTAAAAACATATCTGAGTTTGTTTTAATGGCAGAAAAAGGCAATGTATAGTCTGAGGACTTGGTGTAATATGTGCGGGATCTGGAGCTTATCAAACTTTTTTGGTTTGTGATTTATGCAAAAAACAACTTCACTTCAACATTAGTGTTTTGGTGAAAAATAAAATTGCTGGAGATTTTGGAAATTAAACTGAACAAAGATGCTATTGTTTCGTTTGTACATACATTTCTAGTAAAACACGATACAATAAAGTTCGTTACCTGTAGATGGCGCTGCAGCTCAGTCACCGCGTGCTCATGTCTACGGCTCCGTTCTGCCTCCCGTCTCTGAACTTTGTCCTGGAGACGAGAGAGGACGCTCTGCAGAGACGAAATCTGCACAAACACAGAGGTGGGGACCAACGGGGAGGGGGCTTTATAAACACAGACTGATGAATATGGGAATTTTTGTTTGGAGACTGAATGGGAATGTGTAATCTATAACTTTATTTGAGGTATTTTGTTATTCCCCTCCTTTTTCAAACTTATGCATCACACTGTAAATGTAAATAGAGACAGCCTCACAGAGGATTCGGAACTGGTCTGACCTGGTGAATGGCCTGCTGGAAGTCCGTGTTGATCTGCTCCACGCGTTCAGTGACTCGTATCCACAGCTCGTCCCAAGAGGGAGTTCCCATGATGCTCTGGGGCTGTAGACGCTGGAGAAGGTTGCACAGGCTGGACAGGCGAGCCTAGAGCCGAATAGGCAGGGATCAATGTACAAACATAGGTTAAAAAATATATTTATTATTGACTTACTGTATATGTCTTTGCCTTAGAGGACATACAATATGCACAAAAATACAGCAAACCTTGAGTTGTGTATAGCTTCATCCACTTGGAAAGCAGGAATTTCTGGTACAAACATGCCTCCCTGTCCCTTCTGTGTAAAAGCTCCGGTCTCAAACTCAAAGTGCTGGGTTTTCAAACTTATGTTAAAACAAATATGCATAGGTAACATCCTGACCAAGTGTCCTGCTTAGACACTAGGGTTACTTAGAACAAGATGTCCCAGTGGCTTTGAAGGATGAGTCAAATGTTAAAGACCATAACCATCACAATATTTGACCATGGCATAAGAAGTTTTGGCGTTATTTCAAGATTTGTAGGAAGATTTTTTTATAATTTAAGAAAAGCAGGGGAGGGAGGCAACAGTAGCTCAGTTGGTAAAGCATTGGCCTTTGGGCTTGAAAGTTGTGGGGTTGAGCCCACCACGGGACCTACTCCAACTGCTCCCGCTATTGCCTGCTGTCGTAGTGTCCTTGGACAAGACACTTAACCCCACGTTGCCTGAACTATGTGCATTAGGTGCAGCTCTGATTGTCACCCCCCAACCCAGAAATAAATGAAGGGGTAGAAAATGAATGAATGAACGAACGAACAAATGAATAAACATGATTGTTCTATTGCAAGAAAGTCTGTAATGTAACTATTAAGAAGTGGCCAAAAACATGTAAAAGCTGTCCCAGAAGGGGAGAGGGGATAATGAGTTTAACATGCATCCACCACTGGGCAGATTAAAAGTGAAGTAATGAGATAAAGTGTCTCACGGTGAGAACGCATCAAGGCACAAAGGGAAAACAGGGACAGAAGAAGGTCAAGCTAAACCACGCTCACGCAGCTGAACTCCTACATATACAGCGTTAGAAGAATTACATCACTTTTACTTTGAAGGGCCGAGTGATGACGGGTGACATCAGGGCGCTTCCTCTAGCAAAGCTCATTTCTCCAACTTGAATGAAATTAGAAAATAAGTATTTCCATGAATATCAGTTACTTTTCAAATAATGGAGAGATTTTTCCCGATTGAACAAAGTAAATTTAAATCTTTCCCATTGAGTTCATCTATGCTCCCTCAGCAATAAAATTGTTGGTCGTTATATACAATATTGTCCCTCCCCTTGGCATATTTTATTAAATAACTTAATTCACATGATACAATTGGACCTAAAGGTAAATTATTCACATTATTTCAATAGAATACAATTGTACATTATACACAGGTCGACATCACAGAGCATTTCAGCACGCCTGAATATCGAAGATTCTTTTGTTACATTGTTTAAGCTCAACATTGAGACGCAACCTTTCTGTTTGATAAATAAAACAAGTTAAATGTTGCATATACTTGTATAAAAGAGCACTTTGGGCTGAGAGCTGATTGGCTGAGTGAGGGAGGTCCACTCTTTTTCACAGAGCTATAGAACTAGGAACAAGTTACACATATTTGATTACATTAGAACCAAAAAGTAGTTCATTTTTGTGGTTTAGAAGTTAGATACCCCATATTTAAGGTTAAGATTACGGTATACTGCATGGTCCCCGTAGGGAAACTTGCCGAATGCATTTGACTCATCCTTCACTGCCACTAAACTAGCTTAGACAGATAGACGATGGACAGACCTCTTCTTGTTGCTGTCGTCTCTGCTTCTCGCTGCACACTTGTTCCTCCGTCCTGTCGCGCTCTCGTTTTCTCTCGTCTCGCTCTCGATGGAGCTCGGACTGAAGTTGACGGCTCAGGTTCGACCAATCGCAGCTCTCCGTCTGCAGGCGTGTCACTTCCTGCTTCAGCTCCTCCATCAGCTGCTCCTTTTCCTGTTGAAATGTGTGGATATGGCATCAGCTAATAATTGCGCTTGTTGCCAGTATTCTGACACTACTAGAACTGATGCTGGTTCAGTTTACCTCCATCTGAGTTTTCTGTTGTGAACTCAAATTCTTCAGTGTTTGATTGTCGTCCAGAATTTGCTCCGAGGCAAACACCAAATCCTCAAACTGGAAATATAAAATGGGGTTCACTGTATCTACCTCCTCAACTTTCAATCAACTTTTATTTGTAGAGCCCCTTTCCTACACAAGGCACCTCAAAACCCGCATCACAATTAATCTATTAAAAATAAAAAAATTAAGAAATATTAAGAACAGAATCAAATCACAAGTAATTAAAAACCTTAAAACATTAAAATCACACACAGGATTAAAATAATAATTTGCCACAGTGCCACAATTAAGTCCTTCAGTTGAAGAGATAACCGTATGGTTCTGTAAATGTATAGTTTATCAGCCAATATATTAAAAGGTGCTAGGACTGTAGGTCTTGGTGTCTTTATTAAATCATGTTGAAACATTCTTCACTCAAATATTCATTCAATTTCCATCTTTGAAAACAAACCCCGGTATGGTTTACTCTTTGTGTGAAAATATGAAATGAACTGAACCTGTTTGTTGGCCTCCTCCAGTCTCTGCTTCTGGGAACAAACAGTCGCCTTCAGCTTCTCCACAGTCTCTTCAGGACTCCAACTCCCAGAATGCTCTGCTGCAGGTGCACAAGAGATGCATAGGTTGACTATGTAAGATCCATGCATCAATTTTCTTTTCTTTTTTTTCTTTACAATTTTAGTCAAAAAGTGATAAAACATAGCAGACAAAAACAGACAGACTTATTTTTTATTTCATTTTTTAAATTAAAAGTAAAAATAAAATCCATTTTCTTGCATTGTCCGGGAGAGCAGTCGGAATGGAGGTTTTCGAATATTTTCTCCTATGTATATTTTACATTTTAAAGACCGTACTTACATATTTTTTCCTGGTAGGTTGTAGGTATGCCAAGAGGAGGAACTATTTCAAATATTTTTTTGTTGAGAAATACTTACTGTACACAATAGTACAGAGCCCCATGGTCAGAACTCTCCAGCACCATTCTGCATGTACGTTAGATGGGATGTTTTTGATGAGTGAAGTTACCTAAATGTATCTGCAGCGTTTCTTTCACATCTTGAACAAACTTGTTGAATGCTTTTCTCACTGTGTTCACATCCTCTGTCCTCTGAAAATAAATGATTAAAGTTATTCTACATCTGGAGAGAAGAGATCCCAGTGGGGGGCAGAAAACACCCCACAGACACAGATGTTGTTAAGTCCGATCCCAACCTGTTGCAGTTCTGACGTTGTGATTTGTTGTTGCCTTCTTTCGCTTTCAAGTTTTTCCTTCAAACTTAACCTCACACGTTTCTCTGATTCCAGGGAAACCTTGAGCTCGGAGTTTGTCTGTTTTTCAGTTTCCAAAGCAGCGCTCAGATCAGATTTACACTGTTCAAACTCCACCTGTAACCTGGAGAACATGTAATTACAATCGTAATGCACAAGGTAAGCATGGGTCATAAGATAGACTTTGCTGATCTCACATAAACACAGAAAAATACACAGATTAATGGTTCCTGTGTCATGTGATTTCTCTGTTCATGGTAAACTACAAATATCTGTGTATCTCATCATTTCATTGATACATTTTCTTTTGTCTGACCTAAAAAAAAAGTCTCCAAATCAAACCACATGTTATCATATTAGAAAACCTGTTTTGATTGAAAGAGCCCAGTGAGTCACTATTTGTCACTTTTGGCAGAGAACTGATTGGTTGAGTGAGGGTGGTCTTACTTTCTCTATGAAACAGCTGATCTAAAGATGATCTAAAACCACATTTAGGGGATTTTAAAGTTGGGTACCCCTGCTGTAACTGATAGATGATTTGATAATTACACAGCAGAATAGTGTGGCATATTCAGGATCTTTATGAGAGCGGCATCATTTGGCCTGGGGATCACTCATTATCATTTGGACTTTTTAGTATCAATGCTTCAAGTGAGTAGTATTTTCCAACTTTTTCGTTAGACATTGTGAGACTTGACACTTATGTTATTGAACCTGTGCAGTTGTGTTTGCGCCTGGCCGCTCCTCTGCTGCTCCTGCTCCCTCTTCTTCTCTGCTTCATGGAGGAGTTCCTTCAGATGCCCTGCACTGCACGTCGCCTCCTGCAGGTTGGAACGCTCCACCGCCAGAGCTGCTTCCAGGTCCCTCAGACGCAACTGAGAAAAAATGCATTTCACTCAATGTCTTTAGTCCTGGTTTAGTCCTGGTGTCCAGCTGGTTTAGTCTTGGTTTATTCACCTGAACAATCTCAGAGTTAAATTTGGATTCCAGGTGAGCAGTGCGTTCCGCCTCGATGTTTGCCTCCAGTGTTTTGATTCTCTGCTCTGCAAACTGTTCAAACGAAGAAATGAGTCACTTTGAAATCAAACTGTGGCTCATGAAAACTCTTTCTTGAGATTTGACACCCCCTACTGAAGACAGGCCATGTTATAATCATCTAGCTATTTAGGGGGGTCAAAAGGAGAGAAAATCCGATATTACACAACTTCCAAACTGCAAAAAGTGGAACTATGTATCATAATCTGACTAGTTCCTGGTTCTAAAACTTGTGAATGCACCTTTGGCCTTTGTCATATCTTTAGGTTAGCTTTGTCAGAAGGAAAAATGAAAAAGAGAGGACCACCCTCACAAAGACATAAGTGTTAAATAGTGAGTCACATGGCTATTTCTTACAAGTTGAGTAGTTGTGAAGGGGAAATGTAAGTCTGTGCTTATTTCCTGTTTACCTCCTTGTCGCCCCGGAGACGTTTCTCTCGGTTACCTAGGTAACGCAGTTCATCGCTGTGGCGGCGCTTCACCTCGTGCTCTCGCTCCATTTCCTGCTGCAGCTCGTTCATCCTCTGCTCGCTCTGCTCCAAGGCCTGTTTCTGATCCTGCTCCACAGCATTCAACAAGACATAACTTTAATCATTATTTATTATAATCTGTTTTTGAATGATTTCTACCCATTTTATATTATTATAAAACATTATGGTTTTATAGAAACCAGTGTAATGTGTCAAAATGTTAAAATGACAGCTTATTGTCTAAACTCATAACCATTGTATTGAAATTGGTATTGTGACAACATTGAATTGAGGCAATATTTTGGTTTTAAAAGGTAGAAAACAGCGCTGTCCAAGACGTACTGTAAGTATTCGTTTGTGTAATGAGTTTGATATTAGAGCAATGAGACAGACGGGCGGGAGTCGTGGTACCGTGAGCAGTGAGTGCAGTGAGTTGTTGTCTTCGCTCAGTCTCTGCAGCAGCTCGTCTCGTTCCTCCAGCTCCTGCTGCAGACTCCGCTGGTCCAAGTCTCGGCCGCGGACGCTCCGGTCCAGAGCCACACGCAGGTCTGACAAGCTCTGCTCCAACTCTGCCTGACGCTCTGAGAGACACAGACTGTGACTGGGGAAAACTTATCCATGTAATCATCTTTAATGAACTTATAGGTTATATGTGATGCTCATTGTCATTATGATATGATTTACAATAAAATGTTGTATATAAAAGATAGGATTTTGTTGAGTGCTACAAAATACATGAAGCAATCAGCCGATACAAAATTCCCACACAATTCAGGAATAAGAGGAAGTTTTCACTGATAAAACTGGATACAATGCAAAAAAGATAAAATATGACTTTATATGCATGAAAAAATACATGACACAAAATTGTTAGGCATAAAATGTGTCAACTTCAACAAAGCTTCTCTTTTCCTTTTTTCAAGTTTTGTGCAAGGGACATAATTAATTACGACCAAATTGCAATTTTGGTTCGATTTAAAAACAACTCTAATCTCTATATTTGCATCCAATATGACATCCCAAACAAATTACCGTTGAGTGTGTCTCTTTCTTGCTGCAGATCTCTGTTGGTTTGATCGGTTTTCTCTTTTTCTCTGAGACAAACTGTGATCTGAAAGTGAAGCTCCTCCCTCTCGGCTTCCCCTCGCTCCACCGCCGCACGCAGCCGGGCCGCCTCCGCCTCCAGAGCGCACACCTGCAGCAGTAGCTTTGGTCAGTTCACTTTTAACCTTTTTCAATGCCAATTAGAGAGAAATTTAATGCCATCGATCAGAAGTAACAAACCAACCATTCAAATACATGTGTTATTTTTTATTCCAGACATTTATCTTTGCATTGGTTCTTTCCATCCATCCATTTTTTTCCCCTTAATCCATTTCTGGGTCAGGGGTGGCAGTCAGAGCTGCACCAGCCCCTCACTGATCCTCCTGCAGGTGGTGAGTCCACAGGAGCAGAGATCTTTCAGTGGGGGCTTCAGGCAAAGTGGGGTTAAGTGTCTTGCCCAAGGACACAACGACAGCAGACATCAGTGGGAGTCGTGAAGTAGGTCTTATGGTGGGCTCGAACCCACGACCTTCAGGCTCAAAGGACAATGCTCTACCAACTGAGCCACTGTAGCCCCCCCAAAAAAAAACACTTTCACCAGAGAAATTGCCAAAACTAATTTGGATGCAATACTTTTGTTTTATAGGCTGGAGATTTGGATCTGGATTAGTGTAAGAATTCATCACAGTGTATCAGAATTGAGACATGAGCAGTGAGACAGAAGGGGCGGAGAGATGAGTTTGTGCCAGAAGTTCCTTTATTAGCGTGGATAGAGCTAAAACAACTCCAGGTCTGTTGTTTATAAGAGAACAATGTTGGTTAAAATGGTTAAAAGCTAATGCTAACATTGACTTTCCGTTGACGCTCCTCACCTGTTGGTTGTGTTGCGACGTCAGCTGCAGTTTGTCGTTCTCCAGACGGTTCATCCTCCACCTCAGCTCTCGGCTCTGGTCTTCTGCTGAGTCTCCTTTTGAATGCACTCTCTTCTCTTTCCGCTCTCCTCCCGCTGCTGAGCCATCGTCCCTTTTCATAACTTCACTTTGTTTGTCCGAGCCGGAGAGGGACAAAAGGACTTCTTTCAGTCTTGGAAAAGAACAAGCGGTTGTTAGTAGGGAATATATGTGTTATGCAAAAGGAGTGTGGAATTGCTGTGTTTGCTCATCTCTTCTTCACCATGTTGTGTTTTGTTCTTTCCATCCACTGTACAACGAGTCTGTCGGTCTAGCAGCAAATGGCAATGTTTATGAGTGTAAAAAACAATTATTTTAGAATTATTGTGCATCTTTGTGATAGTATGTTTTTGACATATTGTGCAGCCTTAGTTGTATGTAGCATCCAAATCTGAGGCTGTTTTGTTCACAATTATTTAAACATAGTAAGCAGGCATGCAGACAGACTCTGCCAATTACATTACACCATGGCAGAGGTAATGACACTCTGCTTTCCCACGTGGCTGGGAGCCAATACTTTCATTTTAAAAAGACAGAAAAAAGCCCTGTCCATTACGTCCCAGTCTGAGGGTTGAGTGTGAAAAAACTGCACAACATGGTTTAAACTACCAACATTTCAGTCTTGCAACCCCTCTCCGCCCAGGAACCTCCTCAGTCCAACACCGCAAAGCCTCTGTCCTTATGCTACAGCCTGAGTCCTGGATCTATAGCCTGTCTAATTGAGTGAGCAGGTTCCTCTCTCAAAGTTGGCCTCCTCTTGGTTTCTCACCTTTCACCCCCCCTTTTTTTCATCCTTTGCTGATGCAGGAGGGTCTAAGGTCAGTGAAGATCCAGGACATTTAAGGAGATTTATGGATATTGGTCATCCTGCTCCCTATGAACAAATGGCTCCTATGCTTTTGTAATTATTCTATTTCATATGTTCGAACTGATTGATTCTCTGATCTGTTGTTGGTGAATCAAAACCTTTATAAAATCCTCTGAGACGACGACTATTGTGATTTAGGGCTATACCTTCATGATGTATGTATATTTTCTCAGACTGCTGAAATAATCGCTTACCTCGTCACTTCTGCGGAGCTCTTGGATGTCGGTTCTGTCCCCCGGGGCTGCGCACCGCTCCTCCCGCTTTGAGTGCGCCTCCCGCGGCCACCCTCCCTCCCACGTCCCGCTGCTTCCCCTCCTCGCATCTCCGGGGATTTTAGCTACAACCACAGTTCCTCAAACTGAAATTCATTTGAGGAGAAAATTAAAGCCCAATGAATCCAGACAAAACTGTAATCATAAGCCAAGAGGGTTTGCAGTTTAGGCTGCATCTAAATTCATCCTGATCTTTCCTTCTCGCTTTCTAGGATTTTTGTGACATAAAAATGTAAGTACGCTAGATTAAATAAAATATGTTTTAAAATGTTTTCAGTATAACTTCCCCAAACTTGGAGAAACGGTGTCAGTACGAATTTGGACATTTTTAAACCTAAACCCACAGGAAGTCACAGACATCTTTGTTTGCATTGTTTACTGGTCTTGAAAGTGTAAGATGATTTCATAAATAGATAAATCATAATGTCACTGAGACTGATCCAGTAAGCACAAGACATTTAGTAAACATAGCACTTTTAGCTAGCCTATGGCTTTACAACTATTCTTTCTTATGTTTTATGCAAGTTCAAAGTTTTCCAAGTTGATTCTGCGATAAAAAGTCAACAAAACCACTGGTAAAATCCCGTAAAGGTTGTTAAAAAGGTTCACTTACAGGAGAGGAGGCAGCGGAGCCGGTTTGAAACAGACGCCATCTTTAGCGTCTTTACGCCGCTTCCGTAGCAACTGTCTCCTGGGACAGACAGACAGCGCCCCCTACAGTCTGAGTTATTTAATAAAAGAGGGTCCGATGTTTATATTCTGTTCTAGTCTTCATGCAGCCTGGCCTTAGCCATCCGAACACTCAAGTCAATCATCATTTTCCTGCATGTAGTGTTCATGTTACTTCCTGTACTTTCCCGTTCAGGAACTTCAAATTATATATTTCATAGACATACACTGGCTAGTCATGCATTTTCTTAACGTATATTTGGTATTTTCTGAAAAAAAACAATCATGCAATAAAATCTATGTATATTTAACACAATTTATTTTTTATAATATAAATGAATGCATTAATTGGCATTCACAACAGTTAAACACATTCATGATTTTTTCCGTTCCGTAAATTCATTCCAATGGCAAAATCATCCAATCAGATTAGTGTATTTTTCAATTTTAAATTAAGATATCACAGGACAAAACAACCAAAATGTAGAATAGAAACACTGCTGTTGGCATTGTTATCTTGAAGGTCCAACATCGTCCATATGTTAAAAACTTGGTAATATCAATGTATTTAACCCATTGACTGCCATTGACGTATTTGTCTGAGATCCTATATTTGACTGGGGATTACAGGACAATAAAAATAGCTAGAATCAAACTTATTTTGGCTGATGAAAGTAGACAGCCCAGTCTTTCAGAATCTGGTTTCTTAGTACATCATATTCTATGGGTCTTGAGAATCAGTAGAATCATCAAAAACGGCAGGCAGTCAATGAGTTAATACCATTCTAGTTATTCCAAGTAAATAATTGATATATCTGTGACTAGACAAGATGTTAGGATACCTACTTCTGTCTCAAAAATAATACATGTTATTTGTTCCAATAAATAGAAAGAGTCTCCTAAAAGTAAAATGAACACAACAGACCACAACATTGTCTTCATCTGTCAGGAAACATGTTTTTGCAAACTTGTATTGAGCCCGGTGAGTCACTATTGGAGGCTTTGGGCTGAGAGCTGATTGGCTGAAAGAAGGTCTCTTCAGTCCAAAAATATGTTCATTCCTACTACTAGAGACAAACTGTTTTGCGAGCAATCAATGGCTCTTGTTACATGTGTGGTAAATTTTTTAGTGGAGTTGGTCACCCCAGCTTTAAGGCCTGAATCTGTATTTTAAGATTGCTACTCGTAATTTCTTCCAAACTCTGACACAGCCATCTTGAAACCTCCCAAATTGTTTCCCAAACCTCTCCTCTCATTACACTTTTCCCTTCTGGTTGTTTTTGTCATTTGTCGCCAGAATGTTTGTCTGAATTTTACATGAAGCTAAACTTTTGCTTAAATGTGTCACTTCAGGGCCCACTTACTTCAGTCAGAGCTCGGTTTACTCGTGGCTCCTGTTTCAGGCCTCATTTGTCTGTTTTTTCGACCCCCATTCCGCCACGATGCGTTCAGGGTCCCCCGCTCCACTCCGCCCCCCAGAAAAATCTGTGCCACGCCGGTTCCTCCTTTGTAGCGTGTCCAAATGCGGTGTTTTTGTCGTCAGGTTGAAGTAGGACGTGGGGCAGGACCAGGCGGTGAATATTCATAAGGGACCGCCACAAAGCAAAAGCAGGGCGAGATGTAACAACTGCAGAGCATCTGTTTTTTTAATCAAAGTCGGGGAGAATAGGACATTTAACTCAAGCTCAGTAAAAACAGCCAGTCTCAGTCTGTGGGGCAGGGACTGATAAAGTACTGGTGTGCAGCTTTCTGGATGTGGAAAATGCAGTTGAGCTATATAGACCAGTGCTTTTCAACCACGAGCCATTGCGAATTTGTGAAATATTGTTTGGTAAGATCCACTATCACCTTGTTTGTCAAATTAATAATACGAAAAAAGTAGGTGAGAATGACTTTCGCTGGTTTGATTTTCTATAGTATACACTTTGATGAGGGTGTCGGCGAATCAACAACTTTGTAAAGTGCTCTAAGATAATAACTGTTGTAATTTAGGGATATACAAAAATATTGAATTGAATGGTGTGTTGTGTGACTGTTATCAATGAAAAAGTTGTGCCACGGCTAAAAAAAAAGGTTGAGGAACACTGCTATAGACAACAATAATGTCAGAAGTGTAGTTGAAGCACTCGTTGCCAATATCAGGAACAATCCTGTGCTGGCCTTTCTGAGATGAGTTTTAACGTTTCTCCTTATTTCAGGGTGTACGGGTTTCCTCCAGGCGCTACGGTTTCTCCCACAACCAAAAACATCATCACAACTCCTTGTGGCTTCCAATGTTATGGGAAGGATGGGTCAAATGCAGAGGACAAGAAGCTCTTTGCGGACAAAACGTTGATTAACATGAATACTTTTTCTTGTTTTGTTCATATGCATTATAAACAGAACAAAACCGAGCCCTTTTAAGTAAGTAAGTCATCTTTATTTATTTAAAGAATCATTTATTTTGTTCACTATTTGGAACTTTGGGCTTCTCTTCTACAGATCTAAAGATGCAGAGGCCAAAAATGCATGAAGATTATGTGGAACCAAACCACTGAAGTAGTTTCTGTGGTTTGAAAGTTAGGTAGACCAGCATTAATGTCATCAGGGAGAGTGTAAGTTGAATAAAAAAGGAAAAACATGTGGATGTATAAAGGCAGCAGCAGTGATCGTGTGACTGTGTTTGATGAGGACAGTGAAGTGAACACAAACACAGCGCAGACTCAGCACAGCCACAGGAATCGCCTCAGAGATGATTTCATGTTTTTCTGTCACTGCTGCTGACTCTGCACTGTGCTGCTCTGAGACGCTTCCATAATCCCACACGCACAAACTTCTCTCTGCGCTTCAGAGGCAGAACCAAGAAACTCTCCCTGTCCTCGAACAGTCATCTTCTCAAGCTTTTACCAAACTTTTATATGTTTTTGTGACACATACAAAATGGTGGAATATGAGAAACACTGGCCCAGTGGCGCAAAAAGGGCATATGCAAGGTATGCCTTGCATATGGGCGCCGAAAGGACGGGGCGAGAGAGAAAAAAATATTTAAATATAGTCGGACAGCAGAGCACCATTGGCCATTTCCTCATAGCACTTGACATTGGCGCCCCCTAGCGTCAACAGCGCCCCATTACACCAACAACAGCCAAATCTTTATTCACTCGTGGCGCCATGCTAACAAGGACCTAATGATGGAGAGGCAGAAAAAAAAGCCCTCGGGGGCGCAAAACAGAAAACGGAAGATTGAGGAGAAGAAAGATTGCGCAGGGATGAAAAAAAGCTTTTCGAAGTGGCTGAAAAACAGTGGGTAAGTAATGTCTGTGTTTAGTTGGCGTTGGCCATCACAAGGAGCCAACTTGTAAATCTTCAGGTTAGCTTAAACTACTAGTAAAACCACAGGTTTGTTGGCTTGCTGCTGCAACTGTATTATAAAAGTAGAGTTACGAAAATACTCTACCTTAGTTTCTTTTTTCAGTAACTAAGGAATAATATTACTTTGAGAAAATACGGAAATATAACTTGAGTTACAAGTGCATTTAAATGTATGGGGGGAAAAAAGCCAAACTAAACCCAAATAAAATGCAGCATTACTCCTTTTTATTAATAATTATTTCCTGTGATGTTTTGGGTCCAACATGATGATAAATGTAGGCCTGTACAACAAGGATAGCATTTCATAAAATGTTTTTTTTTTTTTAATTGGCTTGATTGCTGTATTGTAAGCCTCCTTAACACAGATTTCATGTCATTCAGGAAGGAGGATGGAGATAAAGACAAGAACAGAGAGAAAGAATCAGAACAGGCAGAGGAAGGCAACAGGTCGGTCGAATTATATTAGATGGAAGTGTAGGAACAACCACTTGATACCAAGAGATTACTTTCTAAATATTATATTAAAAATTTATATTGTAATTAAATTATTCAAAGTTAATAACGAGTACGCTAATGCTTGTTTGACAATATGACTTGTTTGACAATATAACTTAGTGGAGAAGAACACAGGCAGGGGGCAAAGGAGACAGACATGAGGTCAGCGATGGCATCTGCCATAGAGAAGACCAGTCATGGCACCAGGTAGGAATAATTAAACTAGTGAGGAACTAAAAACTAAATGCCCAGTATGGTTTCGATTTCTGTTGACCAACCTATTCACTACGTCCTTTTTGGAAAATTAGTGCAGGCAGAAATGACCAGTCAATCCCCACAGAGGAGAATGCAGAACAGAGAGGTGAAGAGGAGAGAGAGGGGCAGAGAGGTGAAGAGGAGAGGGAGAGACAAAGAGGTGAACAAGATGTTGAAGACAATCTGAGAAGTGAAGATGATGATGAAGATCTAAGAGGTGAAGAGGAGAGCGAGGAACAGAGAAGCGAAGTGGAGAGGGCTGGGGCAAGGCCTTACTTAG